CTCACAGGGGAAACAATGACGTCAGCGTCACGTGTTGAACAGGGGTAAACCGTGGGGGCAGGGATGTTCCTTCGCATGCTTGAATGACCACACAAGAGTTAAGGCCCAGTACACAGCTTGTACTTTTAAAAAAAATTAACGAGGTGCATACGTGCCTGGGGTTACCCACAACAATAACAGAGCGCGTGTTCCTTATTTCTATAGGTGGCACATGGCCATATCTGTATCATGGGTCTTAAACTTTATATGGTCAAATGCTTTTTTCTGTGGATCGCACACACACACACAGACACACAATTTGCTTTTGAATATTAAATTTGTTCCACAAATATTATAAAATAAAAAAAATCTAAAATTAACAGCTATAATGGTTGGGTAAACAAAAATTGGTCGAAGGTAGGTCGACATTAATAATACTACTTTATGATATCAAATATTTTATTAACAAAGTTTAAATGAATTTCTATGGCTGACTAACTAAAGAAAAGATTAAAATACTTGCTTGTAACAACTTCTGGGCGCTATTTTGAGTGTTTTCTGACACTTTTAGAATTAATATTTTTATTGTCATATTTAGGACAATTATTATTAAAAAGTAACCTAATGATGATTTTCATCTTATTTTTAATACTTAAAGAGTAGAAAATATCGAGTCCTTGGCGAATTAAAAATTCATTTCTCAACTAAACTGTGTTAAACGAGTTATTAAAAAAGAAAATAAACCAAATAAGCATGTATCGTCCCCAGCCAGTAAACTCTTCGCATGTCATTTAAGCTTATCTTATAGACTAATAATTCCCGAGTGCATCTTGTCCGCCTCGCTCTCAGTGGGCACCGTGCTGCGCTCTCATGCCCTGCTTCATCCAAGTACGCTTCGTCACCAAAAAAAAAAAAAAATGCAAACACTAAAGAACACATTTTAATACAACCATGGTATCAGTACCCTTTAAAACCCTACTAAAATTGCTCCACTCGCCATTAATACCCAACCAAAACATCATCAAAACTCTTCGCTACACACTCTTTTGTAGATTCAGTACGACTAAGCATTGGTGGATATGGAGCTCCCTCTGGAACTATTATTATATATTACGCTCATCTCCCTGTATTTTAAACAACCAAAGTAGATGCGTTGCCCCACGATAGTAATGAAAATAATTCTGAACAAACGATGTGAACAAATAGCTAATTTTTTAAATCCCTTATCTTAACTTCGCTACATGGCGAGACCTTGGGAGGACTAAGTCACACAATCCCCGACACCCGATCGATCTGAAAATCGGCACATAGACTCATTACGGGTAATAACAAATTATATCAAATTTTAAGCCCCCCCCTGACCCCCCCCCCCCACAGAAACAAGTTTTTCCTTTTTTTTTTCAATGCGAAGAAAATAAAAATATGACGTAGCGAATTAAAATTACCGTTAACTGCGCTAATTGAGATTCTTTAAAAACCAAAAAATCACAAGGCATTTGATTTTTAATATTTTCTTTTGTTTCTCTGAAATAGTAGTTAGTGAAATAAATCTATGGTGTAAAAGCAGGTGGGTCATCAGAATATTAATATATTTCAGGGGCGAGCCTTGGGGAGAGCACTAAATGGTCAAATTTCCTGCACCAACTCCACCCCCCCCCCACTTGCCGATTGCTCTATATTAATCTTTATAAAGGATTTTTTAGGGGTCGTTTCATTTGTTAGTGAATATAATTATCATATGATAACAAAACCACTTGTGCCATAACACATATAGTTAAGTGCTTTAGTTTCGAGTCATCGAAATATAGCTCTTAAATAGTATATAAGTGCATATTGTCGATAAAAAGATTCCCGCATTGCCTCTTTGATCGTCGAAAGCAGGATGGGGGAACGGAAATAAAGGACGCCCACCAATGTCTGCCGAAGGAAAAGGTGAGGAATAGGAAACTGAGCCCGCTCTGTCATATTTATAATTATTAATTTTTTTTTTAACTTCTAAAATGCTTGCATGTATTTTGGCACATACTTGAATTTAGTTTTGCATCCATCTACACTTAATAGGAGAACAACAGAAGAAATGCTTGTAGTAATGTAGTTTTTTTTTTTCCCTAGCATTGTTAATATAAATCATTTATATAATTATAATATTTCATTTTAAAAAAAAAATAAAGGTGAGAGATTTGTAATAGGAATATAATATATTGTTTTTTATTAGTCCAAAAAAAAAAAAGAAAGATGTACTGTTAAACCAAAATGGTGCATACCGATACCAAAAGTTCGGTATATATTTTTGTAATGAACATTTTAGCCAAGAATGAAAATAATCGCTACTTGAAATGAAGATATAAGTTCATTTATAATACAACATGCGCACCAAAACGTTGAACGCGCGGGCCTCGGGTTTGCCACGCATGGCCTGCTAGAGAACACAAGAATATTGAAACAGTAGGCGACTTAAGTTTCAGTTAAGATGGTAATCCTTATTCCTTTAGCAGCCCACACGACACAAAAATGGACACTGCCATTACAATACTACGAATCATTGTGTGTCCCCAACAAGTATTGATGATGTGAGGTACATAATTTCTTTATGGGCATATTGTGATGAAAACTTTTGAAACTACTAACGCTAGTTTATTGTGTGACATACCCATCTAGTTTATTGTATGACATACCAATCTAGTTTATTGTATGACATACCTATCTAGTTTATTGTATGACATACCTATCTAGTTTATTGTATGACATACCTATCCAGTTTAATGTATGACATACCCTCTAGTTTATTGTATGACATACCAATCAAGTTTATTGTATGACATACCAATCAAGTTTATTGTATGACATACCCTCTAGTTTATTGTATGACATACCAATCAAGTTTATTGTATGACATACCAATCAAGTTTATTGTATGACATACCAATCAAGTTTATTGTATGACATACCCGTCTAGTTTATTGTATGCCATACCCGTCTCGTTTATTGTATGACATACCGGTCTAGTTTATTGTACTTTCTTTCTTTTTCTGTATGCCTTTCTACCCCGTCTGGGGTATAGGCCGTCTACAAGAACTTTCCATTCCTCACGGTCCTGTGCTTTCCTTTCTGATAGCTTCCAGGTGTATCCCATATTTTGGTTGTCAGCCTCTAGCTCGCGTCTCCGTGTTAGAAAGGATGGTCTTCGGCTTTGAGGCTTCCAGTATAGCCTGGTTTTGGCCGAACGAGCATCATACGGGAGGTACCGTCTGACGTTCCACCGCTCGGCGTTGTAGAAGTGCGCTTGTTGGAATTTGTGCGGCTATAACGGGCGCTGATGTCAACAAGAACAACAACAACAACTGAGGGTCAAATTAACCAAATTGTTATTTAAAAACGTTATCTTTTATTTTTAAAATGATTTTTTTAAATAATTTCTGAAAATCTCGTTCACAAGATTTTTCCGGGCAGTTAGGATTCCTCTATTGCTAAACATTCTTTACAACACACTTTAGTGATTTTAAGCCAGAGCTGCGTCCGCAAAACCAAATCAGGTCTCACTCACTTGACATAACTAATTCACGCGATGAGTCACTGCCTACTGGGTGGTCACGTTCTGTGAGTCGGTTTATGTTACAGCGCACTGTTCAGTCGGTTGTATCTCTCGTCTCCCATGTCTCAGGACGACTTGACATGCGCTATCAAATTTTAGCTGGCCATTGTTTCTAGTAGATCATGTTTCCAATAGGATTCTTGCGTCGCATTTTCTTAAACCAAAAGAAACATGAGTACGAAATGAGATTCACGTTTTCGGCTGAAAAGAGCAACATAATATTTTAACAGTTTTAGATGTTTACGTTTTTACAAAAATAAGTATATAGAGCTGACAGAAAGGCTACATCCCCGAAATGTCTGTAGGTGGATGTGGCCATCCTCTGAATCACTACTGGTAGCGTTCTGCTGCTGATCTCAATTCAAGCTTCCCATTTATTTTACACTGTTACATAAAATTACTTTTATAACAATTAGACATTTCATCCCCCCCCCCCAAAAAAAAAACGAGAGGGCACCATGTTTTGGTAATTAGTCTGTACTTCCGAACTTTAAAAGCCACAGGTCGCAATTGTTATTACTGCCCAAACTGGTGTGTCACGTAAGCCATAGGGAGGAACCGTAATCTTTGGACAACATCAAAGAATTAAAATGTGCTGCATTTTCACTTCTAAGTTGTTTTTTTAGACAATGCATCGGTTCATCAATGTTCACGAGAAAATTTTCAGACGATAATAATAACACATCTACATCTCTCTCTCTCTCTCCTCACACACACACGCACACACAAACACCCGCACACACACACAAACACACACTCTCACTCACATACACATACACACACTTACACGCACACACGAGCAGACCCACGCCCCAAGGTTACGATTCAAAAGTAGTGTTAGACGTCACACATCTCAGGTGTGTTGTTTTTCCCCCACAACATGTTCCATGTAAACTATATAGGCCCTACAATCCAACTATGTAAGTACAATTTAATGAAAATGTATTCGTCAGTTCAAGAAAATCATCTTAATACTAACTAGAGACCGAATTTCGGCTTCAGTTTCGGTGCCGCAAGTTGCCATTTGATCACTTTCGGCCCAGTTTCGGTTTCGGCCGAAACAGAAAAGTTAACTTAAAGTAAAAAACGTAAAACTACTTTCAAGTTAAAACAACTTACAACAATTTACAGGCTTTAAAAAACGTGCCTTCATTTGTAACCAATAAATAAATAGACAAAATAGAATGAAAACTTGAAATATTCAAAAGAAATATGTGTACAATTTGGAGATTTTATTATTTTATCAATTTTTTAAAATAATAAAATCGTCAAATGGTATACATATTTATTAGTATCTTTTAGAATTGAAGAAAAGAAGAAAACATTCGGCTTCACGCACTCCGTTAAAACCGAATGATTTTTCGTTTCAAGCAAACATGGACTCTCTGAAAAATCTGGCTTAAGGTGCGTAGAAACACTCAGCGTCCAAAATGGCGACCTTCGTAAACACTGATTATTTGTTGTAGTGAATAGTAGTCAGATTTTTCCATCTTTTAATATTGTCCTGCGTCTTTAAAGGTGCGCATACTAATAATGGTGGTGCTATAAAAAGATGCGACTCATACTAAGCACTTCAGACTCAATTACTGCATTTTTAAAAACCGTTTTAAAATATTATACTTCGTCTTATTACTCTTAACTTATCTAATACACTGTGACTGTGTAGGCCTATAGTATACTAAAGTAATACTAATACAAATTTATAAAGTATTTTATTAATAATTGTTTGATTGTGACACAGTGCTTGACAGCGTCAATTCATCATAATCATAGGGTTATGCCATGAGTGAGTCATAAGAATAAGAACCCTAACTAACTCTAACTGTCATTAGATAAGAAGTAAGTCTTAGACTTAGATACTTAGACTAGAAGATAAACATGAATATCATATTCGAAATAACAATATAATTTGAATATATAAAAGTAGGGCTTCTTAATCCTGTTGTGTCTACTACTGTTGAGTCAAGCAGTTGTCTATTATTAGAGTAGAGTATTATTAAAATATAAATTCATTATGTTAAATGTTGACACCACATCCAAGTAATGGATTCCTTAAAGCTAAATCTCATATGAAAATTCAGATCCCAATCATATGATTAAGATCTCTGGGGTTTTCATAACTCATAGTTTAAAGTTTCTGATACCAATTGAAGAAATACTTAAATTATGAAACAGATTTGTTATTTCATGATGTCAGTGAATTACATCCATATATTAAATAAATCTTTTAAAACTAAATCAAACCTAAACACTTGCTAAGACTTTAAAAATTAAACAATTTATGCCTAAATGGATATCTACAGCACTAAATTAAACTATTTACATAACATCTTCTTTTCTTCTAGATTTAACATATGCTTATTTTTAACATAAGAGTAAGCTATTGGGGCCTACTCCAATTATATAAAAAAATATTTTCGTTATACCTCTAATTTATAAAATGTAAACTCTTTTTATTTTCTATATTATTTGTTAGAGCATCATGGCCATGAGAGGCTTGCAGGGAGAGGATTTAAAACATGCTCTGAAGGAATTAATTACAAGTTGGAACCCAATTATTAAAGAGGCTGGATCATATGAGGCTGCAGAAGATAATCTTCTTCACCTCGAGGAGAATGATGAAAACTTTCACAGGTATCTTAAAACCTATATTATAGTACATAATATTATGAAGGATTAGAGATGACAAGAGAAGCGTAACTGTAATAAAAAAATTTAGTGTTGGGGTCGCTGGAAAAATTTCGTGCCTTGTATGGAGTATGGAATTTCACTGGTACTTGTTGCACACAAAATTTCTGGTGTGTTAGTTTACTTAATGAACTCTTTTTGTGCCTGTAGCCTTTTGACATGACTTTATTGTAGCTGTGAGTTTTGTCTATAGTGTCTCTTTTGTGTGCGTGCTATTTGTTTTGCAGTTGGTTTCAAAGCATAATGGGAGAAGGTTGTACTACATTCTTCTACTTTTAGTCAGCGATGCTATACATATGTTTGATTCATTGTACAGCCTGATATATATGTTTATGGGTAAAAGTTTACATTTCTCTTGGAAAAAGGACTTGTGTTCCTTTGGGTGTGGTTAGGACATATGCAGTTGCAAAAAAATTTGATGCATGGATTGTGACAGCAAGGTGCTATGCTCTTTGTTGCCAAGCCTTTTGGAACTGGTCTGGGCATTTGATGAGTTCAACACTAACATCATTAACAAAGGCTGATACTCATCCTAATGTCAAACAAACTTTAACATAATTTTTTTACACAGAACATGAGTCATATGGCCAGACTTGACATCGGAGGATTCAAAATAATCACTTATTTGGGGGATGTTGTTTCTTTTTTGTAATAGTCGGCTAGAGGGAGATTAGGATGATTTAACGATTTTATTTATTATGAATCCGTCAGTTAAGTAGCCAAAGAGATGCAAGAGTTATAAAAAGTCAAAATAAAATGTGTGCGATTGATGGAGGCTTGAATGTAAATCCCAAAGAGCTTGTGTGAATTTATATAGAAGTTGTTTTAAGGCTGTTGTCATTAAAAGAAATGAATTGTAAAGATTTAATATATATGTATATAATATATATGTGCCATTTACACAAATAGCCTTTTACTTCATTATTTAAAAAAAAAGAAAATGATCAATCTGTATTAGTAATTTTTAGTTACATCTTTGATCAGCTGAAAATTAAAATTATTTCAATCCTTTGTTTTAACAATAAGCAAAATTAGAGTAAATGTTTTTTAAAGCTTAACTGCTTGAAGTAGAAATTAAAATCCACCCTGCTATGAACAGTAGTCCTAAAGATTTTTAGCCTAATGAATATGAGTTATTGTTTTTTTCAGACATGATTTTGTGAAGGCGCTGAAAAGAAAGCTGGATGAAATACTCAGTCCTTTGGTTGATGATGAACCAGAGAGGAATTCAACTGCGGGACACATTGACTCTGGGGGTCATGAGAGTAGAGTGAATAGAGTTATAGATCATATCATGGAGTCAAGGGAGTAAGTACCAAATAACAACAATTAGACACATTGACTGTGGACATGTCATCAAGTACAACATGCACAGTTAGACACATTGGCTGTGGACATGTTATCAAGTACAGCATGCACAGTTAATCCATTTGAAAATTAATCAGTAGAATTTCTAAATAATTTAAAACTCTATTTTTCTAATGGTGTTATTTAAAAAAATTTTGAATATGAATTTAGCTGCGAAGTTTCTATCAGGTATTTTTAGAAATTTAAGAAAATTCTCATCAAAATATTTAGACCAGTTTTAAACAATGATGGTTGGAGCATTAGTACAAATCAAGAGATGATTTGTTCGTGAAACCACCCATAGCTGCAACAAATAAAAAAGCCTGGACATGACACCTTGAGAGGATGACAAATTGTAGAGCAGCAAAAGTGATCAACAGGCAGAAACCTAGGGACAGAGGGTTCACTGGTTGACAAAGACTGAGATGGATTGACAATGTAGAGAAGAACTTACATCAGCTGGGGGTGCTTGCATGGAGGTGGAAAGACATGGACTGATCCGAATGGAATGATGTGGTGAAGCAGGCTGGGATCCTACACGGTCTGTAGCTCCACTGATGATAATGACTGGTTAAACATAACACTCAAATCTAAAAAAAACACGAAGAATACATGATCAAAAGAATTAAATTTTGGTCATTTAGGAAACACTAGATACACACTAGCAAGGCATCCAGGTCAAAAAAGTATTCACAGATGAGACAGTATGGGTTTTTTTAGGCTCCTAAGAAATCTACATCTACCAGATTTAAGGACAGTCCATTAAAATTTGGAGAAAAAAAATCTCCTTGAGCAATAAATTCATTGAGTCATTGTCGTATCTAAAATATAAATAACTTAAATATTTATTTTATTATATTTTGTCCTAGGTTCAATGACCTGAAGACGAAGCTAAAGAAAAATGTAGAGGAAGCTGTGGGCAGCCTTATGGCAAACTTCAACAATGTATTTGAAGTCGGGAGGGCAGGAGCGGACATGGAGTTCTTTGACCCTCTCAAAACTCCAATGGTTACAGATGATGAGGAGGTATCATCATTTAATAGCTTATGTGACCAGGTTAGATCAGCTTCTGTGTGCTGTAGATGTTCTCTCATGTTCGGATGTGATGGCCAAACACTTGAGTTTAGGCAAATGGTCTTGAAGATTTGTAAGAATTATTTAATCATTATACCACATTAATTGAGAATTTTCAATAATGCAAGCACAAAACAACCAGAATTGGCTCACTTTATGCTGAGAATAAAAGTTTAAACAGACAGTCAAAAGTGTAAAATTATAAGTAAACAGCTTATGTAATTTCAATTGGTTGAAGAAAATTTAACTATCTACTATTTAAAAAATTTTCACGTCTGCTCATTTGTTTCGAGCCATCACCCAGTTTGCAGTGCTTCTGTGTGAGTTTGCAGTGACCAACATCTCAGGGGCTTGTTTGGGTCTTACATTAGATCCAAATACAGTTTTATTACATTTTATTTCTGTAATGTTAATTTATTTCTAATCATTTTGAAGAGCTGAGGCTCAGCAACATACTTCCAACAGTTCTATCAAGTGAACAAGATTAAAATCACTAATTCCATCCATACATTCTATTTGACCAAGTAGACCAATCCATGATGGAACTATCCCTGGTATTAGGAAAAATTTAAAATTATCTTGTAAGCTCTACAACAACTTTTAATCATCAATGCAGTAGATCATTGTTTTTTAAATAAATCTTATCATTCATATTTTGAACTGAAAATGTTGGGGGGCTAGTGAAGAATAAATGCTTCTTATGTTCATATTTATTTGGCAGTTAAAATAGAAGCCATTAAGTTTTACTTTGATTCTGTCTGTTTTTTTCGCTCACTCCCATTTTTCTCCCCCTTTTTTAGGTAGGATATCTGTGTATATATGTATATTATGTAAATTTAATTTATACTTATTTGTCTTTTTGTTGTACTGATGAAGGCATGTGCCCAAACGTATACTTTTGTATTCTGTAAAATTATCATTAAAGCTTACCTTATATTGTTATATTGACACAAATTGTTGTTGTCTAATTAATCTAATGAGATAGTTGATTGATTACATACAAACTTAAATACAGAGCAAGAACAAAGTACATAATTATAATAAGATTATGAAGTTTCGGATCACCTGATAATGTGAAGTGAATCATTTTGTGGTCTGCCTACTTCAGTAAAGGCTTCATTGAAACAAGCTATTATTTTTTTAACAATTCTATCAATTTTAAACTTTTGTCACACAGTAAAAATTAAAGATCAGCCACCTTAAGAACAGTTTCATTATTTTAGGGACAAAAAAATTGAAAATGTATCAATTTTCTTAGTTTGCTTTGCTTTTCACAGACTGTAGGTAGAATCTGTATTGTTCTAAAATTGCTTCTAATAATAAAATATTGAGAACTTTTCAACAAACAAATTATATCTTAAAACTGAATTTCTTAGTTACAATAGAAAAACTTGGTAGTCAGAAGTTATTTTAATTTTACTGTAAAACATAATTTCACATCTACTCAGTTTATTTACAAAAGTATTTCCCCTTTTAAATTATCAAAAAAGTTAACTTTCTCCCCTGTTTTACAAATTGTTTTTTAATTACTACAAAAAAAATGTTTTTAAAATAAAAAAAGGTTTTTATCTTAAATGACGTCTCTTTCAAACTTATTCTCTTTATTACTTTTTAATGTTTTATTATTTTTTTTGTTGCTTCTTGTGTGTTTTGTGTCAATATTTAACATAACCTTAGTCATTTTACTCCTGTATTGTGTATATAATGTCAAATTTTAAAATCTGAGATTTTATTCAATCTAAGCATTTTCTGCATTACTTTTACTTGTAGGCCTATCTATTTTAAAATGTTCGGCTTTGCTTCAACAATAATACTTTATATGTTTAATATTATTATGTTACAATAAAAATATTTATGACATTTTTGTCACTAGAAAAATATTTTTTAAATTGATATTAATTTGTGATAACATCAATTGTAATGTGATACATTTGATCTGTAACATGTTGCTTTAGATGTTATTAATGTCAAAAGGCCCTATTTTTATTGTGTCACTCATTAGATAAACATCTGCTTAGTTTAGATTATAATTTTTGTGTGATTATTTTAAACAATTTAACCAGTTTACACAGCAGTTTAAAGCTGAAAAGAATGATTCTTTAATAACATATAGTAAGACAAAATTTTGTTAGGTTCTCATAGATCAGAATGCTAAAATGGTTATAATATTAAAGTGCTAATTTAGAAAGAGATGTTTCTCATTAAAAAAAATGTACACACACTTAATAAGTTATTCATTCTTAACAGAGGCATACAAAGAAATTGAGTGTTATTATGATAAATTAAATAATTTTTACGCTGAAATATGAGGATACATTAACGATGTACACAGAATGTTAGTAGTAATAAACTCTTGACCATCTCTATAAATATAATTGTTTAAATACTTTTAAATTTTCAGGGCAGTGTTATGTTGTTCAATCAAGATTATTTAAAGGGCATTGCAGAAAATCTGTCCAAGACTAAAAACGCAGGGGTAAGATGCAACCATTAAATTATAAATTTTTTAATAGATCAGTCATTTCATTATAATATGTTGCTAGTCATACAGTTATTGAATTTTAATATGTTGCCAAGCATACAGTCATTTAATTTTAATCTGGTCCTTACCTCATGAAATTTTTTTTGATAAGAAATTAACTTTTACCCCTATGCAAGACTCTGTGAGTTCATTGCTATATTTGGATTATGAACTTAAATCCTCTAAGATGGGAAAAGTGATTTGATTTTGGGAAAAATGTGGGGGATTCTGTAGCAAGTTTGGGGCCATGCATCTTAAAACGTCTTCAAGTAGATAAGAGTTGTATAATTAATCAACTGATATATCTTCAAAAAAATCTTTTAATTTATATCCATGCTCTGAGAGTTGTTCATTGTATTTTTCATTCACATGATACCTATTTCTGTTTTTTGTGTGTCTGGATTGTGTGCAGACCGCTTATTTTGTATCAAACTCTGAGTTAGATTCTGTCTTCTGAATGCAGTTTGTGATGTTTTTCACTTCTTATTTAACCCCTCCCAAAGATTAACTACCTTACTGGGCTGAAGACCTCATTCCAAATGGGAATTAACCCAGAGAAATTTGAACCCCCATCCTCTCGATTGTGAGACAGATAATTAGATAATGCTAACATTGTGTGACAGGGTAGTGTTGGATACTATTGCAAGTATTAGAAATATATTATGACTTTAAAGGAGGACGACTCTCAATATTTCCTCTTCTTGTCTTTGCCCCCATCTCTTATTCCTTTCTTACTTCTATAAAATACTTTAAGTCAAGCTGATACAAAAATCTGTACACGTTATTTTTTTTTTTTTCAGACGAGGAAGGAAGCTATGCAAAAACTGAACCAAATCATATCTGGGGAAATTGTACACAATAAACATTGGCAGCCACTTCGCAAAAATCTCTTGGATGTCATGGCTGACCCAGATGATCAGTTGTCGGTTAGTTATGTTAACTTTATCGTTTTTCCATTAATTACCAGGTACGTAACCATATGCATTATGACTCTTTTTTTTTAAATTTAAAAAACTCTTCTGATTTTGCACTGTGCAGAGATGTAAAGCTGACAAATGAAATAAAACATTAAGCCAACAGTGGGAGGGAGGTGAGGAGACCCAGTTGAGTGGTTTTATGGTTCAGAATAATTATTAAGTTTGTGCACCCCATTTAAAAATAGATCTATGTGATATGTACCTCAAACTACTTTTTTTTAAAGTCTATGCTAATACTTTGTATGTGTAATTAAATCTCTTCAAAGAGCATAAAATTGTGAAAATAATATTATGACTACATTGCATCCTTAACGCACAGGAAATTGTTGATGCCAGTTTAGCTTTCTTCTACCAGTGACTTTGAACATATCACCTGTGCCTTAAATAAAAACACAATTTGATTGGCCATTGCCATTTTTTTCAGGATCTCAGCTTAAAATTTGTTGCCAAATCTTTCACACATACTTCTCACTACACAAGTCAGGTGTACATCTTACTCAGTGAGTTTTTATATTAATGGAGTTTTAAAAATATTTTGCATTTTTTCAATTAGAATATTTTTAAACTGTTGGCAATCTACTTTTTAAACATGTGTTAAGGCATAGTGCCAAAATGATCTTAGTATAAAATTATTTAAAATTTATTAAATGATTCTTCTCATTTTTTTAGTCGACTTCCTGTGTGGACATTTTAAGGTCACCGTGATGCCTCCAGTCAATAAAGGATTAGATTTTTCAAACAAGGAAATGGTCAAATTGCTCAAGGCTGTAAGTCCCAGTCTGATTTTAAAGTCACTGTCCGATTTTAAAGTCACTGTCTGATTTTAAAGTCACTGTCTGATTTTAAAGTCACTGTCTCATTATGAAGTCAATGTCTGATTTTAAAGTCACTGTCTGATTTTAAAGTCACTTTCTGAATTTGAAGTCACCATCTGAATTTATAGTCACATATTTGGGACAAGAAATTTCTTCATGAGTACCGTGGTCCTTAAAGACTTCAATTAGCTATGTAAATAAATTTTGAAAAGAACTTATTTAAACTGTAAAATTAAATGTTAATATTTTTTTACTTTATAATTTATGTTAAATTTCTTATGGCTTACTTTACATGACTGTGAATATATTCAGTTTAAGTAGAAAATTGTAAGATTGTATGTTTAAATTACAGTTCCGTTTGATGGTCGAATTTCAACAAGAGGCCCCTAACTACTGGGTCCGTTACCCACTGACCTATATGGAGGAGGTCGTTCAGAGCTCGCTCAACCTAATTAGCCTTATGACTCCACAGGCTCAGAGTTCCAAATTAACCCCTTTGCATTTCATAGCAGTTTTAGATCCAAAAGCCCAGTGGTTCATCAAATGGATGGTAAGCCTTTGTCTCAGTTCAACAGAAAACTAATTGTTCTTGAGCTTTTGAAGAAATCCTGTTAATTTTTATTTTTTAATCAGCAATTTTTTAAAATATATTATGCATTTTTTCTCCATTGTCTCAATCTTTATTTTTGTGGCAGGTATATCACATTGTCTTAGTAAGTTACATAATTAAGGGTTGTCTCATATTTAAATTTATTCAAGGAGATGTGACACATGCTTTTATAATTTAAAACATTTCAATTTCAGCATGGAAACTATTGCAGACGTGAATTATTGAAGCATTTAAAACAGTACAAAGTTATTGTAAGTAAATAAAACAAATTTTATGGAGTATCTAATTTAAATTCGTGTTTATCACATCTAACTTTTGCCAATCAATTTAGCCAGGTATAAATTTTCTTTTATATCTCGTAACAATTTTTTTATAAATTGAAAAATATTTTATGATTGTGTGACACCGTTTGGAACACACACCATGAATTTGCCAGCTTTTTAATTCAACATAACCTTACTTCCTTACTTACAACTGTCTAAAATCTCTCAAGTTTTTAGCAGAACTTTTAAGTTGTAACTTATTCACAGGTTGAGATTGCTGTCAAACAATGCATGGATTTCTCTAACTCACACAAGACTACACAAGACGGCCTATCACAAGTTGTAGATGAAATGTCCAAAGCGTCTATCAGTGAGTCGGCAAACTAAAATATATGCTAAAGTTTTTCATCAATTTGTCCTAAAATGGTGGAGATATCTTCATGCTTCCAACAAAAGCTTACTGTTAATATTGGAGAGGACTCTGAAGATATATTTTAAACTATTGTCAACTATCGTTTTTTTGTTTTTGTTTTTTTTTAGTTGTGTGCCTATAGTAACTCTGTAAACCTTAGTCAAAGTCATAAACAACTAACCCAACAAACAAAAATAAGAAAGAATTAAAGCTAAATTTTGAATATAAAAAAATCATAACTACAGATTCAGACTCAGAATGTAGAATTTATTTGTTTTTTTTGCATAGAGTCAAAACATCATTGAAAATTCTATTTTTATGATCATTAGAAAGTAAATGTTTTGGGCGGTGATGACATCAAATTATACAATCGATTGCTGTTTATGTCTCATATATAATTTGGTAACAGCAGTCAGTTGAGATGGATGAAGTAAAAATCTACATTTTTCAAAAAAATTTAAGCCTAAGCAGTTAAGGTCCTCTCTCCATTTTGCCTTGATTCTTGATTTGTTGAGCCCTCCCTTAAGGGGCGAGGGGTGACAGACTCAGAATCCTTGGTGCAGCTGTATCAAACATCTTGACCTGCTGTCATGTCCTTGATAGGTGATAAAAGAACCAGCTACACAGGGCCAGAACTGGAATACATTTTGTTCATGCACTCTTTGTCCTTCCTGGGTAGTCTGCTCTTCTATGAAAAGGGGAGATCATTCTTTCCTATCAAGTTAAAAGAAAAACAAGGTAAATATGTCATATCTTATTTTTCTAAAGCCTTATTTAAAGCGTAAATTCTGCTATTTTGTTGAGCTTTATAAACTAAGCTTTGTGAGTCAGATTTGAACACTGATCTGTCATGTCAGCAACAGGAGGCCATGTATCTCTGAGATTACAGCTGTCGTCATACTCTGGCTTTGGCCATTGTGCAAAGGAAACTGTTTTTAATATAGATATACATTTTTAAATCTAATCTCTGGCTCCTGTAAGCTTATTTGTGACACAATGTGTAAATTATCTATTTTTATTTTTGAATACATTTCTTTAAAATATTTAAACATGAAGTTGACTTAAGCCTTATTTCATGGGTTCATCGCAACTACTCTAATATAATAGAGATGCAAAGAAGTTGAAAATATTAAGTCACAGGAGGGCCAAGAGAATTAACGTATTGATGGATGTGAATCTTTTAATTTTTCCAGTCCAGACCAGCCAACTCTTGAAGGCCCTTGTCCAGCTTATTGTTGACCCCGGAGAGACAACTCCTCCTAAAAAGCCATTCAAAAGTAAGAACTCTTCTTTGTAGACTTTCTTAGATGATTCATTTTCTCTACTATATTTTTTTTTGAAAATGTGAAGAAAAGTTATCATCAAGAGGAAATTTGAAATATGTGCCACTACTCGAGCCTGAAAAAAATGTACCAAGGCAACGCCTCCAAACATTATAACATGATATTCAGTCCAAAGTTGAGCATCCTAAGATGTGTGTAGCTGTGCTGTGATCGACAAGATAAATCGTATTATGGGGGATTCACCTTTGTATTTTTCCCCCAGGCACATATGAAGTGTCCTCATTGGTTGCAGAAGTCTTCAAAACTCTGTGTAGCACAGAAGCCATGTGCCTGATTGCATTCTGTAGAGATGACATAACAAACCTGCTTCTGTCCCCTGTTGCACAATGCCTAGAAGAGTCAACGGTGAGTGTCTGGACTAGATTACACTCAACAGGAAACCAGTTTACCCTCAACAGGAGACCAGTTTACACTCAACATTGTTGTATACAAAAATATCATACACTGGGGACAATTTTACAATCAACAGAGTTATATACAAAATATCAGAGATTTTAATATAGTTTCTAATTAACTGATGTAAAGATGTATTGAAATAGTTCAAAAGAATAAATAAAAGATAAATATTTTGTGCTTCGCATAAAAGTATTTATAAATATTTTGTGCTTCGTATAAAAATTTAGTCAAACAAAAAGGCTCTGATTGTTTAGTATCCAATTTTTTAAGTAAATGACTTAAAATCAAGCATGGTGTAATGTGCAACAGTTTTGTACTCCATAATTATTTGATCCAACAGTCTGATTAACATACACACAGCATTTATATATATATAAATTAAATTTTCTTGAATGTAGGATCTCACTGCATCAGCGGAGCTCACCCTCTTGCGGGTGGCAGACATATTGTGTGTGGTTGCATCAACGGCCAATGGCAGACACCATCTCTTGTATGGAGAGGGCAAGGGACTGTTGAACAAATCTAAGTATGAGCATTATGTTGCTTGTTGAACAAATAAATCTAAGTATGTACATTATGTTGCTTGGCTCATTGGCTGTATTTAATGATTGATTATAATTAATTTAAGGCCAAGTATTGCATGTTGGCATCTCTAATTAATTTACATTTTAATCATTATTATAATAAATACCATTTTTAAATTCATGATCTCTACCAAAGTTTAATTTGTGAAACATATGCAATTTAAATTGGGTAATAATAACAAAAATAATTAGTTTTTTTTTCTTTTTTCATTAAGTTATTTATGAATAAAAATTAAATTGTTTGATTACTGTGCCCAGGTCGTCAGCGGCGCACACCATAGCAGAGTTCACTAAGAAGTCCCTGTTACATGGCCACTCCAAGTCCAGTACGATCCCGTCCAACTCAGTTACCGGAGCTTTCCTGTATGTGTGCCGGCAGCTTTACAATACGTGTGAAGGACTCTACATACTAACACAGTATGAACTACACACCTGTGTTGCTGAGGCTTGGAAGCAGGTGGCACAAATATAATAAACCATTTTGTTCAAAAATTATTTTGTAATGAATATTTAAAACAAGATATCTATGTGATAGATAGCTTTCCAATCTGTAAACATGATTTTTTAATGTGATAGATAGCTTTCAATCTGTCTAAATAATTTGTGTATGTGACAGATTACTCAATGTAATGTAAAGAAGTTAGAGGATTATGGGAATGTACTTTATGCTGTAGCACTTCTAAAACTATTTGTGCAGCAACTGACTCGGTAAAGTTTTAATAATATTGCAATGCCCTTAATTTAGAATTGAGTCACACAATTTCTATCATGGTTCCAGTCCATACACAGCATCTATTTTTTAAGCTTAACCTAGTTATTGTGTTGATTGTGCTTGTGCACCAGTAGTCTACAAACCATTTGAGAACCACTAAAAGAGAGAGAATTGCTTGCTCTTCATATTGAATAGCTTTTTAATCATGTTTCATGTAGAGAATAATAAAGTGTTTAATATGGAGAAGACTTGCAAATCTTATGTGGCGAAGAATATCTTTATATTAAATTTACTGGAAAACCATAATGGCAGATAAACTATTTAGTGTTGTGCTTAAAGTGTGACCTCTGACCTGCAGATCAACTATTTAGTGTTGTGCTTAAAGTGTGACCTCTGACCTGATGGCATTACAACAAATTATAGGGATCTGGCACATATCTTGTTTTTGTTGTGTATAATTACTTTACCATTTGTACTAACTGTGTAGGCCTACATGTTTGTTGTGTATAATTACTTTACCATTTGTACTAACTGTGTACATATTTGTTGTGTATAATTACTTTACCATTTGTACTAACTGTGCACATTTTTGTTGTGTATAATTACTTTACCATTTGTACTAACTGTGTACATATTTGTTGTGTATAATTAGTTTACCATTTGTACTAACTGTACATTTTTGTTGTGTATAATTACTTTACCATTTGTACTGTGTACATTTTTGTTATCTGCTAAGCAGATCCAGAAGGAAAAGTCCAACTCTACAGCTCCTGGGGATAAAGGAGACAAGGACTCCAATATGTAAGTGGATGCATATATAGTCAGTGTTTGATGCAACCTATTAGTGCAGTGGAATAGGCCCTGATTTAAACAAACTATTTATATGTGATTCGGATGTTATGTCATTTTGTTAATCAGATAGTTTACTCATCTCATCCTCATAAATGTGAAGATGTGATTATGTTTATGTGATTTTGAAGTTCATCCCCTAAAAAAAACAACCCCCCACAAAAAAGCAGTCACTTAATGCACAGATGCTCTACATGGAATAGAAAGGAATTACATTCCTCAGCAGACTGAAAATGAGATTCGTGACCAATAAACCTGAGATATATCTAAATAAATTGTATAAATTTAATGTGTGTAAACATAAGATGTATGAAAAATGGATGTACAAACACTAGATAAGTGAATATAAGCTATATAAATATAAGATGTGTAGACATAAGATACAAAAACACTAGGTGTATATGAATATAAGCTCTATAAACATAATATGTCTGAACATGAAATTCTTTTGCTGAATCAGAGACTCCTGGAGGGAGACACTTCAAGACAACCTATTGAACTTTGCCAGCACAGCCAAGGGTATATTACTCTTACATCAGACGGGAGCTTTCAATGAGTGTGTTCGCTACATGTACTCAAGATATGAGAAAAAGTTGCAAGTTAGTGATTTATTTTTATTTCCATGATATTTTAACTTAAGGGGACTTTCTGATGATTTATGTTACAATTCATGGACTGACCATAACTGTTCCTTTTTTATTCCTTTATTGAAGGTTTTAGTAACTATAACTATAATGAAAAAAAAAAATGTGTAGATCAGTAGTTATCCTTTTTTTTTAATCATAGGATGCCATAAAACCTCTTCATAACTTGGGCAATTTAAAAAAAAAAGAAAAAGATAAATTTATATTTTGAGCTACACTTCTATTTGAGGTCCTCCTAGATTTCTTTGAACCCAGCATATGAAATACTGATGTAGATCTACTATCACAGTCTTACAGCTAGTCTCACAAATAATTAGACAGGGTTTAACCATGTGTCTAGGTTGGCATTGATCTGTCCTAGGTTGGCATTGATCTGTCCTAGGTTGGCATTGATCTGTCCTAGGTTGGCATTGATCTGTCCTAGGTTGGCATTGATCTGTCCTAGGTTGGCATTGATCTGTCCTAGGTTGGCATTGATCTGGACTAGGCTGGCATTAATCTGTCCTAGGTTGGCATTGATCTGGACTAGGTTGGCATTGATCTGTCCTAGGTTGGCATTGATCTGTTCTAGGTTGGCATTGATCTGTCCTAGGTTGGCATTGATCTGTCCTAGGTTGGCATTGATCTGTCCTAGGTTGGCATTGATCTGTCCTAGGTTGGCATTGATCTGGACTAGGCTGGCATTAATCTGTCCTAGGTTGGCATTGATCTGGACTAGGTTGGCATTGATCTGTCCTAGGTTGGCATTGATCTGTTCTAGGTTGGCATTGATCTGTCCTAGGTTGGCATTGATCTGAACTACCACTTTCTTCTTATTCATAAATCTGAAGGTGAGCAAATGTGAGAAGTTTGGTTATGGTGTCATGGTAACACAAGTTGCTGCTACAGCTGCTGGTATACAGGCCCTGCAAAGTACAGGTAATTTCTGCACCTCTTTTTAAGGCCAATGTCTGAACATTGTCTCTAATCATGTATGTGGCAAAATTCTTAAATTGATGCTCCATAATTAATTCATAAAACTTGTTAAAAATATATTCAAATAAAGATTATATTATCATTTTAGATTTCATTTATATAAGTTTTATTTATGGATTTATGGCAATGTTTTAAAAAATCCATAACTAATTGTACAAAGTGATAAAAATGCATTACACTGTAAAACCCTTACATTGTAGGCTACATCAAGGCACTTCTAATAGAACTGTGGTCCTCACTAGAATGTGGCCCTTTAGACACACCTGTGTTCACACCCAAGTCATGGCCTGTTGACCATATTGACAGAAGCTCTCAAAAGGTATGAAACTGTTACTGACTCCCAGGCTGAAAAAGTTTTGGCAGTGCTGTAGTATTTGTAGTTGTGTTTTTTTTTTTTTTTTTTTTTTGGGGGGGGGGGATATTTATGAAGTTAAAGGTATTCCTTTGTGCAAATAATCTCAATTTGAGAACCTCTGTTGAGCTTAAATCTAAGCCCAGTGTTGGCTTATATCTCATGTTATAGGGGATAATAAAATTTTCAATAAATGATATTTATTCCCTCTAATACTGGAGCTGCTACAGATAACTTTATTCAACCATTTTTGTTTTCTTTTGTTAATAAAATAAAAATATTCAAAACAATTCTAAGTGTTTGTTAAAATAAAATATTATATTTTAACACAGATGCATGATTTATTAATTTAACACATATATTTCCATTTGTACAACAGCATTTCATACGTGTGGTCAACATTCTTTCTGCATTCCCCGCTGTCTATGAGCTGCTTAGGGGTGAACCTCTTCCTTGCAAGGACACATACAGCTTGAGAGATATCCCAGATACTATAATGGTAATATTTTGAGAGATATTCCAGATACTGTAATGGTAATATATTGAGAGATATTCCAGATACTGTAATGGTAATATGTTTAGAGATATACCAAATACTATAATGGTAATATATTGAGAGATATTTTAGATACTCATATTGTAATATGTTTAGAGATATACCAAATACTATAATGGTAATATATTGAGAGATATACCAAATACTGTAATGGTAATATATTAAGAGGTAATCTAGATATTGTAAGTGCAATATGTTTAGAGATATACCGAATACTATAATGGTAATATATTGAGAGATATTCTAGATACTGTAATTGTAATATGTTTAGAGATATACAAAATTCTATAATGGTAATATATTGAGAGATATTTTAGATACTGTTATTGTAATATGTTTAGAGATATACCAAATACTATAATGGTAATATAATGAGAGATATTCCATATGCTAGAATGGAAATATGTGTTGTAAATAATTTGACTTTGTTCAAAACCATTACAAAATATTTAGCATATTGTGACAGTATATATTAATAAAAGGTATAATTGAAAACAAGGGCATTCTCTAACCAAGGGGGGACAACCTAAGGCCAGTTGCCACATGCAGCTTGCTGAAACATATAATTCGGTTGACAAGACCATCCCAGAACTGGTTTAATGTTTTCAGAAATTAACAAATTGTGAATGATAATCTGTAAAAGCCTTTGAAATTTAGTTATCACAGGGCAACATTGTCAACTTTTAATAACATTAATTACAACTAATTTAAATACTATTTCACTGCTTATTTCAAACTGAGCTCAGACTTCATTTTTTTATGCCATCTTCAATTACATATCTTAAAATTAGACCCTTCAGATTCCTGTTAAATTATCATTGGGCCTGCCAAAAAAAAATTAATTTGGCCATCTGAACATAAAAAGGTTTTCTACCACTGCTCTATCCAAACAATATAAAAGCCTGAGAACAAAAAACATAGGCACAAACTGTAACATATGTAAATACTCACTCATTTCAGGCCCTTATAGACAGACTCATCATTGTCAATTCAGAAGCAAAAATCCATTCACTTTTCAACTATGAACAGTCCCATACATTTGGCTTGAGGTAAATCAATTCTCATTCATTGTGAATTTGTTTTGTTGTCTGGGGACCTGCCAGGTGGCCATAGAGCTTCTTCAGTCATGGTGTTGGCTGGATATTGAAGATTGGCTTGAGAGTGTTCGTTATTTCAGTACTACTCTAACACAATTTTAGTACAGCCAACCTTGATTTCTCCGGAACAGGTGCCATCTCAGGTGATTGTGTCCCATCCAGAGATGGCACTCACCACTTGAGTTCTGGTGGTAGTTATTCTTTTAAGGTCTGGGAGGTTTCTCTGCCATAATTCTGTCAAGATTAAATTAAGAATTATGTTTTGAAGTCGTTATTTTCATTTATACAATTATTTCATTGTGCATAAAAAAATCAAAGCTAATCCAATCTAGTTCAAAACAACATATCAAATTTATAGTTTTGCTGGCTCTTTAGCACAGTGGTTGTGAATTGTCTCATAACCAAGAAGTACCTGGGTAACTTTTATTCATGAGCAAAGTAATTCAGTTGTTCATATGTAGTTGGAGATTGACACATAAAAAAAGAAAAAAAGTTAAAAGCAGAAGTGTATGAAAAATTAAGGTGGGGACGGGGGGGGGGGGGGGGGGGGGGACGCTGTGTGGCTATTTTATTTCTTTACAATTATATTTTCTAAATTCTTGGCCCGCCCTGGAGGGCACCAACCCTAGCTACACCTATGAGTGAAAGGCAGCTGCCGACATAATTTGGTATTGAATATTCTCTTTCTACTCTTATCACAACACATGCACACATAAAACGCACTGCACACACACACACACCCAAAACATGCGCACACACAAAAGAAAGACACACACAAGAGCAGTCATCAAACTGAAACACACACCCACCCCCCCCCAAAAATAAAAATAAATAAATAAATAATAACATATTTCTATGACTACAACCAGGCTGTTGTCTGTCATGGTGTCATGCTTGGACACTTACCTGCTCATACAATCTCAGTACAAGTTCCAGGAGTTTTTACTCCAAGAACAAGAACAGAACAAACCTGAGGACAGGTGAGTTTGTTCTAAAGTAGCAGAAGCTGGATGATTTTAGAGAAGGAGTGTTTTTAGAGGAGGGATGATTTTAGAGAAGGGATGATTTTAGAGAATTAGAGAAGGGATGATTTTAGAGAAGGGATGATTTTAGAGAAGGGATTATTTTAGAGAATTAGAGAAGGGATGATTTTAGAGAATTAGAGAAGGGATGATTTTAGAGAAGGGATGATTTTAGAGAATTAGAGAAGGGATGATTTTAGAGAAGGGATGATTTTAGAGAATTAGAGAAGGGGTGATTTTCAATTCAAGACTGATTTTTTTTTGTTTGTAAACTTCATTTTACAATAGATCTGGCTAGCTGTTAACTTAAATGTTCATAATTAATTACTAATAATCAATGAGAATGCTTTTTATGAAGCTAACTATAAATGTGTCCTGATTTCATTCATCATCTGACAAATGAACATTTGTTTTCCAGTGAAGCATTTATAACAGATTTACTGTCAGTGGAGAGAAACTATATTCTGGTTAAAACATATTTAATAGGAGGACCCACTGAGAGGGTTTTACCATCTAGGAACTTGGAAGAGGTTTGTCATGTCTTAGAAATTTTATCACCCACATTGATAGTAAAAGCATTTAAATGTAGGTGACTTGTCAGTTTTTCTAATTTTGATATGTCATTTTTCCTTTTTAAATATGCAAGTGTGTTAAAAATTTCATAATTTTTACTTTAAAATAACTTGTTAATGTTTATTTTTTAATATTCTATAACCACATATTGTGATGTATTGCAGTTCCAGTTCTTTAAGATTCATGCATATTGTAAAAATGAACTATTCTGAATAGAGCAGCTCATATCTCTTGATTAAAACTGATCATGACCTTAAGTATCAAATTTGCCCATGATAATATTTTAGCCAAATTTTTTTAAACATGAAAGGTAAAATTTATTTTATTTAAAGAATGGTTTCATTGACATACATTTAAAAAAAAATGTGGCCATTTTTATACCTACAGGACAAATCAGGAAATTTAAAGGCTCCAATTTTATTTTCATCCTACCCAATACCAAGGGAATACCAACCAAATATTGCTGGAAGGTCATCTGTTAAACAAGGTGAGTTGATCAGTGGTGCCACAAAAAGATGCATGCTGTACATGAAAAAATGGTACATCTCATGAATGGCAAGCTGTGTGTTTTTCTGTTTGAATTATTTCTATTAAATACTGTCGTAGGGAATATTTTTTGTTTAAACAAATTTTATAAAGGTTTTCTAACAAACAGCACAGCCTTGATATTTTGATCTAAGATAGCTGGCAAGTAGTCCCAATTTTATTCTTCTTTTGTGTTGATAACAAGTAAATACCAAGTATCCCTTAATTTGTCTTTTATTTAATTCACACCAAGTCGTGTCATTCTATCATTTTCTTTTTTTTTGTTTTTGTTTCTTATCTACAGAAAATGAACTTAGCAAATTCCTTACTGCATCCCGTTCTGAAAAGAAGCCAAAGGTTTGGTTCGAAAAATGCAGGGAGCTGTTATATAAGACATTTTCTGGCAAGCCAGATCAGGCTAAAGGAAATAGTAAGTATTTATCTCACTAACAGACTTCTCTCTTTCTTCTGTACATTAGAGCAGTGGTTTTCAAACACAGTGTTACCGCAGGCCATAATTTAAACAAAAGTTACAAAACATAATTTCATAATAAAATGACTTTTTTTGTTTGTTCGATTGAACAATCAACATTTTACAATATATATCAATTACCTCAATAAGATCAAAATCTTTTATCACTCATTTTCTTATTTATTTCCAACAATCTTTATCTATTTTTTCAAGTTTTATTGCAAGTTTTGGAGCAGACAGTTGAGCACCAATGTCAAGTACCTGAGGAAGCAGTTTTTCATTTATATGAATTCTCCGGTAAAGTTGGATACATGTTACCTATTTGAATTTGAAACTAACACAGTCATGATAAATATGTCAGCAAAAATACAAAATAAAATTATTAAATAAGAATAACTTGGGTTTTCAATGTGCACTATTCGTACTTGATAGATTCGTACTTGATGGATTCGTACAACAAACTTTGCCCATTGCTTTGATTTTTTATTTTCATATATTTCAGGTTCAGATAGTGCAATAAAAAACTTTAAATTGTCTCCCTTACAACTACTTGGTGTAAAAATGGCTATTAGGTGGGTATGACGTTGACTAGCAGCTTGCGTTTATGAGGAATATTGAGAGAGCTCTCTACAGTCTTAAAGTTATTAACATATATTATATTTCTATTAATTACCATAATTATTTTTTTATTATTGTGTGTATTGCATTGGGCCCTCAGTTGTTCAAGATTTGTTTAAGTATCAACTTGACTTGTTAAAGCGAATTGTAAAATGTTTTTACATTATCGTTTAGGTATGGCATTCACCTAAAGGTAATCAACACATCATCAGAATCCACAGACAATCTGACCAAGTTAATGCGCCAGACTGGATGTTTCCTTAAGCAGCAGCAAAGATCACTCAAATCTTCAATGAATATCCTTCTTAACATTCTAAAGTACCATATAATTAATTCATGTCATAGACTGAAAAAAAAAACAACCCTAAAAACAAATAGAGAAGAATAAGTACGGGCTAAATTATAAATGCAATTTTAGATTTTTTATTCAATAACGAGAACTGTCATAGTTGTATTTTTTAATGTGCTCCCTAGAATTAGTACTTAGTGTAAGAGGCTGTAGGAGTCAATGGTTACTTACTTGGTAGATGAAACCTTAACTTCTTTGTAGGATTTCTTGAAGGAAGCTATCCAGGATTCGATTGGTTTACAGCCACGATATTTCTTGTGTTTAATGGCAACACAGATAAAGCCTGGACTTTTCTATACAAGTTGTCTGCTCTTGGAACTTCTGGCTACATTTGGATGGCAAGACTTCATGCATCGGTACGCAATAATATCATTAACTCTTTTGCTGCAGAATTTTTTTGCGCAAAAATGTACATTTTTTTCAAAGAGCAAAAAAGAGTGAGTTGTTAGGTTTGTTAAAATGTATTTAAAATATTATTGTTCGGTTAATAAGACTAAACTTGGTATCAAATGAAAGACAAATGAATGGACTACATGTTTGTAAACTTATTTCTTCAGTTTAAATAAAATAAGTAACACAAAAGAACCATAAAATGTAATAACATTATATGCAAAACATTTTTCCCCCAACCTTATGATGTACGCATACCTCATCTTCACTTATATAACTCAAATCCTCTAAAAATGCTACTATCGGAATCATGCGATGGATATAAATAAATAATGAAGTACAAATCTACTATGTAAAAAGTCTTATTTAAAAATAGCTCTTTAAAAAGTTTAAGCCGTAAATGGCAAAGAAACAAACATGATATTGAAACGACGTACGTTGGGCCTTGTTTTTTAGAATGGTGGATAAACGCACTGTGCATTGCCCGCAGCGAAAGAGTTAAAAGTAAAGAATTTCAACTTTTCTCATTAGATCTTAAATTTTAAATGGCCAGCCAACAATAATAAGTGTTCCATTAATATTTATAAAATTTAATGAAAAATGAGCCGTGTGATACATAATTTGATATCAAGATAATAAATTCATTTAAATAACAGTAAACATTAATAAATCATGTCAAGCTTATCAAGTCCACACAATTTTTTTATGGGCTGTCATTATTTTGGAGATTTTTTTCCTAATGTCTCTAACGTAATTGGATAGAGTGTGAATAACTCAAAAAAAAAAAAAATAAATATTGCAAGTCTACTATTTTGCCAGCCCATACAAATATTTACATTCAGAATCTTTGAAAAAGTTTGGGGAACAAAATACTCTTTCAAACATGTTGTTAGTTTTTAACTTTCTATTTGAAAAAAAATGCACTAACTCTGACACTGTCTGAGCATTGACCCAGAGTGTTTGAAAAATAAATTGTTTATATTATATTTTAACTAAATGCTAATCATATTGGTTTAGTATAAGTTAATAATGTGATGTGTATCTCAATTGTACTAAATATTGTAATAAAACACCTTCTGCTACTAAATTGAAGTTTTGGACATTCAAAATATTGGAATTCCAAAGTACAGTATGTTATTTAGTGTCTATCATATAGCTCATATATGATTTTTTTAAATTCACACTCTAAATTTAATGTATGCTCTTAGCTCCTCCCCAACAATTTACTGGCCAGTGGAATTCCTCCCCTGTTTTCAAGCACTGCCCACAATATTGAGCTCCTCCTCCAGACTGAGCTGCCATTGGTTGCCTCTGCATTTAAAATGTCAGGCTACACTCCATCACAGGTAAAGGCTGTCATTTTGATTTTATTTCTCTAACCTTAATTACAGATATAAAAGTAACTTTAGTAGGCCTAATATCAAAAAGGGGATACAGTGAATTCAAATTAATGATAATTAAGTTTTAAAAGCCAAAATAATCAACATGATGGTGTACCCATTGCCTGTATTTAGATCTCCTTCCAAACTATTTTAAATGCCCACTTTTGTGTTAATTGACCTTGTAAGATTTCCCACTGAACTGCTCTAAAGAAATGTTTTGATATGGTATTGATACTGCACAGTGTCAATTGATCCAAGGTTCAAAACTTTATTCATAACTGCTTTTTTCTTCATTGCATGTCTGTACTATCAGTAATATCAGTGGATAAAAAAATATGCCCTCATCTATCAATTATTGAAGAATTGAGCATTTGATCCAATTTTTTTACATTTGGCTCTGTTATGACCAGATCTGCCTCCACTGGTTGACCCAATGCTTCTGGAACTACCTGGACTGGTTAGATATTCTCCACTACATTGTGATATGTGTGGGACTTGGGGTCGATTACCAGGTTTACCTCTGTGTGGCTATTCTCAGACATCTGCAAGAAAATATTCTTTCACATATGCAGACTCAAGACCTTGTCATTTTTCTCAAGGTACTCAATCCAGTTTATTTGTAACGCACTATTTATATCTCACATTGATGAGGAGTAAAATAATAGATCCCACGCTGTTTTTAAAAGGCAACCTAAATTTCATGACATCATTGCTGCACAAAACCTTCACTTCTCAACAATTAAAAGTGTGTATGGAAAAAATTTCAAGCTGATCAAGAAAGTTCTACTTCAGATGGGATGAAATTCTTGTATATCATTATCAGTATTAGCTCTTATATTTTACACTTCATAAAATACAAAAAACCAAAATGGCAGTAGCAAAATAATAATTTACGCTCATTCTGGCAAATGTAGTTGTGTTGGACATACCTTACCTTGAAATTAAACAAAATGATAATTTATTGGACATGAACTGCTAATAAATAAGAAGAAGAAAAAAAAATAGAATCTCTTGTGACAAGTGCAAGATTACTTAATGAATGTTTTCTGCTGATTCCAGGAAGAAGCCATCACAGACTTCCATGTCATTGATGAGATCAAATTTATGAAAGAACTGGAAAACAAATACAGAAAAATTGTCCTGCCAGATATGATGAACATGAGCAAACCATAACTTTGTTATGTATTTGTATTATTTATTTACATCACTTTTCTTAGTCATATTTCTGTTATTTATTGTTTGTGTTTGACTTATGAATTGAAAAGCAATATCACTTAAAGTCATTTCAAAATGTAATTCAATTCTATATGTTTAACAGGCAGCAACTTTGATTAGCTTAACATTTATCATAAATTAAAATTTTCACCCTTTAAATAATGGACAACAACTCTACTATGCATTCATTCAACGGTTTAACACTAAAACAAGTGTATAAGACAATATAATATACAGTCAAATGGGAAATATATTGCATTTTCTTAAAGTTTGTGTAAGTCTTGAATATACTTTCAGCATCAGTTTTACGTTTTAAATGCAAAATATAAAATTATGAAATTATAAAATATTTTTAAAAACTTTTATTAGGAAATAATAATTGAACAATTATTTTAACAAATAACAACATTTTCTGGCAGTTTGTTGTGTAAAAGAAATGTTAATAAAATGACATGACAGAAGACAAAGAATATCTTTGGGTAAAAATTACCTGGCAATTCAGATTCTGATTTATGCTAAATAAATATTCCATTTGAGGAGATTTCATTGTACATTTCTTATTTATTGAAAATAAACTTATTTATGTTATCAAAAGTTTTTTTTCAGTCTTTAATGATTATCAATTGTTTTTCTTTCCCAAATCACTCATGAAAATTTGATTAAACAAAACTTTGTGTTTGATTTGAACAGATTTGAAATTCAGCATCCTTTAAATATTTTGTTATTTAACTGTACACTCCCTAACCTGACTATAAAACTATCTATCATAAGAAGTTCTTATAATATAGAGAAGAAAAAGGGCAAATATTGGTTTTTAATGTAACCACTAAACATGTCATGATCTTAATTTCTTACTTACAAAGGGTGAATAGAAAATACAAAGGTGCTATAACAAAGGAAACAAGTGACATTATTGTGTAGCTAAAAGTCTGGCCTATAACATGGTTAGTTGCACTTTGAAGAGTCCTTTTGAAAAGAACCCAGAACCATAACGTGCTTCTATATTTTATGGGAATATCCTGTATTTGTAGAAGAATAAATGTTTCTAGTGTCTCGATATAGCAAACAAATGTTGGCACTCTGACCAACATACATTTGAAAGTCCAGTGAACATTATGGCAATCATGAAACTGAAAAAAAAGTCAAAATAATTTTGCTGAGAAAATAATAAAAGTAAAAAAATTCAAATCTCAGCATTTTTTAATCAACTTAAAATGCATATCTGGCAACTGATATTGTGAAGTGAGTCAGTTATGCTGCTTATTTAGAAATGCTCTTAACAACATATTTCAAACACAACCAAAGACACTTTCTCAGGGGGAATTTTTCTCAGCTTTTCTGCTGCTACTTAACTGCTAATTAAATGTTTTTAAGGAAAATTCAATTCTCATTGCTACAGGTATGAATCTCCATTAAAGTTGTCCTTGACCTTCAATGAAAGTTTCATGGTATCTTCCTCAAAGCCTCGGCCGTCTGATAAATATCTCGCAGGTTCTCCAGTCTGTCGTTTATACATCCTAGAAAAGTGAAATAATTTATTAACTATCATTACTTCTGTAACATCTCTAGAAGACCCTGACATAAGCTGGTGTTGACACGCTCAACCATACAGCAAGCTAGTCACCTGAACCACACAAAAAAGAATAAATTTTGAGATGAAAACCTTTATTGAATCACAACCAAGGGATGTGTTTTTGTGTTTCAATTTCTCTAAACCCCACATGACTGATACCCCTCCCCCCCCCCCCCCAAAATTCTTTTGACAAAGTTCACAAATTCTATTAAGCTTTCTAATCGAATCAGGGTGAAGCTTTGAACCACACAAAAAAGAATAAATTTTGAGATTAAAACCTTTATTTAATCACAACCAAGGGATGTGTTTTTGTGTTTCAATTTCTCTAAACCACACATGACTGATACCCCTCCCCCCCCCCCCCAAAATTCTTTTGACAAAGTTCACAAATTCTATTAAGCTTTCTAATCGAATCAGGGTGAAGCTTTAACACATATTTTAAATGCAAACCTCAATTTTTTTAATTTCTTTTATGACTTGATTCAGTTGAAATTGATAAAATTTGTAAAAATGTATCACTAGACTAGGTGACACTGATGTAACACAGTGATCAAAGGCTACCAACCTAAATTTGCATTGGTTGAGGAATTTTGTGCGCTGACCATGTCCTCTAAGCCACCTTCATCAGGAAACACCGGGCCGTCATCCCACATCAGGTCAAATAATCCAACTTTCTTCTCCCTCCCAGTAAGTCTGACGGGAGACAATAAAGATATGTTTATCTCAGGCCTGGCAGACAAGGGTGGAATAATGTGCATGTTTATCTCAGGCCTGGCAGACAAGGGTGGAATAATGTGCATGTTTATCTCAGGCCTGGCAGACAAGGGTGGAATAATGTGCATGTTTATCTCAGGCCTGGCAGACAAGGGTGGAATAATGTGCATGTTTATCTCAGGCCTGGCAGACAAGGGTGGAATAATGTGCATGTTTATCTCAGGCCTGGCAGACAAGGGTGGAATAATGTGCATGTTTATCTCAGGCCTGGCAGACAAGGGTGGAATAATGTGCATGTTTATCTCAGGCCTGGCAGACAAGGGTGGAATAATGTGCATGTTTATCTCAGGCCTGGCAGACAAGGGTGGAATAATGTGCATGTAGCTTGTGCTTGAGTTTTAAACAAACCATTAAAGCACAGGGGTATTTTTGTTACCCTCTCAGGGGTATTTTTGTTACCCTCTCAGGGGTATTTTTGTTACCCTCTCAGGGGTATTTTTCTAAATTTTTTGTTACCCTCTCAGGGGTATTTTTCTAAATTTTTTGTTACCCTCTCAGGGGTATTTTTCTAAATTTTTTGTTACCCTCTCAGGGGTATTTTTCTAAATTTTTTGTTACCCTCTCAGGGGTATTTTTCTAAATTTTTTGTTACCCTCTCAGGGGTATTTTTCTAAATTTTTTGTTACCCTCTCAGGGGTATTTTTCTAAATTTTTTGTTACCCTCTCAGGGGTATTTTTCTAAATTTTTTGTTACCCTCTCAGGGGTATTTTTCTAAATTTTTTGTTACCCTCTCAGGGGTATTTTTCTAAATTTTTTGTTACCCTCTCAGGGGTATTTTTCTAAATTTTTTGTTACCCTCTTGTTTTTCAAATATTTTCTTGATGCTCCCCATTTTTTCAACTAAAAATATTTAATTTATTTTCTTAATCTTTAAAGATATTATTTAGATAAAGAGCATCAAGCTGATGGCAGAGATATGGTAAATCATGATGCTGACATAAAGCAAATATTGCTTGTGTTGGACAAATGCCTTTTACAATTACCGACAATATATAGAAAGAAGAAAACAAAACTATTTTTTTCAAGACAGCGCAAACCTATTTTCCAGGTCCAACACATTGAGGACATCATTGAGTAAGGCAAACTTGAGGTCGTAATCTTCTTGATTGCTGGCAGTCAGTGAGGGAGAGGCATTGATTTCAATTAACCAGCTGTTCAAGAGTAAAGCAAGTAGTTCATGCAAGTGAGCATCCACACTTCAGTAATGAGATGATTTTAAAGCTTGTTCTACATAAACCGTCAAGTTTTCTCAAAATTTCAAAAATCAAACAAATGTGCCGGTCATGTGGTTACTGTTTATATTGCTGCACTTAAGCTATGATAATTTATTACTCAATAAACACTGTCCTACTTACATCAGTTTTATTAATACCTGAAAAGTATGGTATTTTAATCTGTTTCCCTTAGCTACAATAAAATAGTGTGTAAAATGTGTTTTATTTCAAAACTTTTCAAAAAAGACAAATAATATTTGGTCACACATGTTATTTATAAAGTTTTTTCAATTTCATGAGATCCAAAAAGTCAAATTTAAATTTGGTTGGAAAAGGGAGAGGGGGGGGGGAGGCAAAAGTCTATCGTAATTGATAGTTACTCACGGTTTGAGGTTTGAATCTATCAGAATATCATAGCCGTAAAGTTCAAAACAATGCTTATCATTGATGATTACACGTTGGCAGGACTGAAGACTCAGGATAAAAATGTTGGTCATTTGTTGGAACAGTGTGTTGACCTGAGGAGAAAATAAAAACATCCGTAAGTTATATTAATACTGACATTAAAAAAAATATATATATGTTGGCAAATTGTTGGAACAATGAGTTGGCTGATGGCATGTTGTTGTTGGTCCGACAAAGTCGACTAGGACCATCGAGTCATCCGGTTAAGGGGAGGGTGGGTTAAGGTGAGCTCGTAGGTGGCTTGCTAGACCGATCCCTGCTCGGAAAAATCTCTGGCACCGCGGGCATGGAATAGTTGCTGTACCCGGTGACCTAATGTTGCTTTTTCGGGCAATCCTGCATGTTTCAGCAGTGGTTATCCTATTAACTTCATGGGATTTAGCCCCCTTCTTGTTTCCCTTAGCTACATCAGTCATCAGTGATGGCATGTAATACACCACTAAACAATAAAATATGAAAAGCTGATGACTCTGGTTCCCATTATGGGAGAGCTACAAAAGATTTTATTGGATTAGATCAGGCCTGCACAACATACGGCCCGCAGGCCACATGCAGCCCGCCAGCACCCACCTTGCGGCCTGTGAAGTAACAAAATATTCTTTATTCTTATTATTCACTTAATAGCTTTGCCCCCTGTCCTTTTTTTTTTCCCGCACAAGTCCTGTCCTATTTTCTTTTGGCCCGCACAATATTTTCACAAAGTATTACGGCCCGCCTTACATTTTGGGTTAGATGGATGGATGATGTGGAAAAAAGATCTACAGCAGCTGGGAATCCAAATATGGGAAAGAAAAAGTATCAGTTATGTCTGAGTGGAAGGAAGCGGTGTGACAGGCCAAATCCCTACATAGCACCAAAGGTATGGATGGATGAACAATGGATTTCCTCATTGCTTGAAATGTAGAATCAAATTATTTTATTACATATGCAAACTGTTAAAATGTTAAAAATAAATGGGAGAAAAAGTGTAATTATGGGGATATGTGTTAACTTGCAATATGAAATCACTTACATTGACCTGTCCATGCTTTGCTGTCAAGTACATACGTAACTGTTGAGTTGACCATTTACAACCCTTTTCAGGGTCATAATCTGGGGCTGTCTTTTGGATTGCAACATTTGTTAAATGGATGTCTGCAAACATGCTAAGGAAAATACCATTTCATCTTATGTTTTCAGGGTTTATTAAATTTAATATAATTGCATGATCCCACTTTTTTTTTTTTTGGTTTATGAAGTTATCCTAAGTAAAGGATACAGTTGTCATCAATGGTGTCTAAGGAATATCTGTTGTTGGCAAACCTGGCAAAGCCACTTCGGTACAGGTAAACTTTTAAAGGATTATACTTGAAAAAAAAAAGGTTAAAATATAAATTTCAACACTAGCTAAACTGAACTATTATCACAAAGTTTAAATTTAAATTTAGTTTCTTAAAAAGTGTACAACTTATGTGCATCTCAAATTAGTTTCTTTTTTAGATGTGTACTTGTCTCTCACAGATATCTTTTGTTCTTATATATTTTCAAGCTCTCACTAATTAAAACTGAAATCATTGGACTTAACTTGAGAGACAGGAAAACAAACATTAAAACAGCCCTTAAGCACCTCATAAGGAATGAATGAATTCTAATGAAAATAGAGAAAAACTTGTTTTCAATTTATTTGTACTTTCTTTTAACAACTAATTGTCCAATCCATCTTTCTTATAGACAAAAGAAGCCATAAAACGAAACGTACAGATGTGACAAGGACGTAAACTCTTATGTCAAACTTGCGGCCACCAATGAGGTAAGGGTTTTCAATATAACGCTGTACCACATAGGTTTCAATCAGCTGGTTAGATCCATCAGACGTTTGGAGTTGGGGCTGATACTCAACACCCTGTTAAACAATACATCCATGAAAGTTGAGCTGCAGGCAGGAGGTGGGAAAGTACTTTGATAAAATTATAGTGAGGTTTTAATCACAATTGAAAAGGGCTGAAACATACTCGGTGCTTAAAAGAATATTTCAGAGGGAATCACCACAGCTTTTTAAATCCTGAAAAAAAAATAATGCTAGGATGATAAGATTGTATGTAATAATTGTAATTATTTCAAGACAAGGTATAACAATGGGTTGCATGTTTAAGTGAACATCATTGTTATTGTGTTGTTTTTTGCTGAGTTAATATCATTATATCAAACCCTTTTCCAATCTGTAATATCCTTGAGACGTTTGAACAAAAAGATCCCTTTCCCCTGAGACTTTGCAATAGGTTTCATAATCCAAATGGTGCCAGGATTCCGTCGAAACTCATCCACAAAAATGTGATACTCTGACTGAAAAATTATTATTTTTATTTTTAAATCATCTGCAGACAAACATTAGTGGGTCAGGAAATATCCATATTTTACAGAAAACTGTTTTCATTTTTAATATTAAAAAAAAATGTTTCAATAAATTTGTAAAACATGTCTATATCACTTGGCTGAATTTAATTTAAAGTTTAATCTTTTCACCTATTCCGTGCCTACCCTTTAACTCTAACAATTTGGGGAACAAAGATTAAAATACATAAAAGCTCATGCCAAATAAGATGCTGACAACACATAGAGTCAGCATGTAATCAAAAGTGGAATATACTTACAGGAAGCTCATACGTTGAGGGGTAAAAATCGCATCTGTTTATGTTAAGGTAAACATTTAGTGAATTAAAAAATTCATCAAATATCCTGGACACAAAGCACTCAGAGAAGTAGACTTTAAAATTTTAGCACTAAGATAAAAATACTAATAAAAAATAAAACGGGTTCAAGCCTCAATTTAAATAAATAGATAATTATTTAGAATGATTTCTTTTCAGCGCAAAAATAAATTAACTGAATACTGCTCCATGATAATTAATATATGGGTATCAATTCTCATTAACTTTTCATTAGAAAAAAAAATCCATATTTAGTTTTAAGGGTAATTCTGGTCAGACTTTTTATCTGATATAACATAGCGTATTTAAATTTTAAGTTTCTGAATGATTCCACGAAAAAAAATAATTAAATACACAGTTAAAAATACAGCCTAATTTGTTATTTTTGACATAGTTTGTAACAATAAAATTATTTGATCCCACAGTCAAACTATTTTAAAGCAAATGCTTGAGCAAAGGATATTTTTGGGCCTCAGCTTTTCCAGAATCTCGTTCAAGTTGACGTCGTAGTCGTTTCAAGTTTTTTACCATTAAATTTTTTCTTGTCAGCTATTAAATAAGTAAGTCAGAAAAAAAAAATAGTTTCATGTCAGATTGAACAAGTCTTTATGCTATTTTGAAAATGTTTAAAATAATTTAGAGCAATGATAAAATATGCATTGCATGTTTTATTAATTTTTTATTAACCAATTTCATTAAATTGTCTATAGATGATCAAAGAGTAAGTTCATACCAATATCATTAACAGCAAAGCATGCACAAAATAATCACAATCCTAGCAACAGTCATGTAAATGAAATGCTGTGAACTTAATTTGCCACAAAAAGGTTACTGTGAATAAATAATAAACTAGCGATAAAAATACATTTTTTTAAAAAAGCAAGACCAAAGCTGTGAAGATCTGCATCAGGAAAATTTTAAAGCACAACAAAAATAATACATAAAAATTAAAGGCTCAACACTTTATTGAAATGTTTTAAGATACCATGTATTTTAAAGAATTTTAATTTTAGATCATTATTTAAAAAAAAATTAAAACCAATCTTAAGATCTTAAAATTATAGATGAGATTTTTTTTAAAAATTAGGTACCATAGTAAGAACCCTACCTCATAGTGATTTCTAAAATGATTAATTCTCATTTGGTCCTCCAAATAAGCACGATCAAATATCTCCTTCATCCACCAAACATCTGCCCAATAGAAGTCCCAAGCACCTCCCTCACTAGGATCAGGTAAAATTTAATAAAACCGTTGACAGTTACAAGTTAAAAGTTTTAAAAAATAACCCGAAATCCTTAACAAAAGAAGTGGCCTACCTTATTTTAATTGATGCTTAGAATGCCATGCACCAAGATGGACAGGGTAAATGAATGATTTAAATATACAATATTATAAGGCAATGGGTTGAAAATAGATATGTTTTAAAGTTTAACTTCAAGAACAATATTAATTGTTGTGAAATATATATAATTTTTACTGGGCTTTAAAAGCGTCAATACAAATAAATTCAATTGAATGGATCTAATTTTTTTTAGTATACAAAAAATAAATAGGAATTTGAAGATGCAATGTTTTAAATATTTGAAAAAAAACATTTTTATAATTTAGGGAGAAAAAGATGGGGAAATATTCATAGTAATATATGGCTTTCAAAAACATGTAATGGAATGGCTTTTGTTTTTAGGGAAACTGATGATTAAAAAATACATTGGCTTTCAATGCATTTGATTAATTAAGGTCAATCGTGTCAATTTCATCCCACTAGAGCAATAGGAAGTTAAAAAATTACACTGCTTATTTACACTTATTTCTAATACATCCAAATTTTCTAATCAGATTGTGGCAAATCTATTAGTTTCTATGGACAAAAAATGTGTTTAATAACCTTTATTTATCACCGAAGTGCAAATGTTATTGGAAAACATATGGAACTATTTATTTAAAGAAAGATTTCCAACTTATCAATGGAGAATTAAGTTAAATTTCTTAATTATTTTTCAAGTTATAGAAGTGTGATAGCAAATAAATAAGACAACTATATTCTTTACATTAAAGAAAGTGGTAATTTTAAAATTACTGCATAAGTGCCAACAAGCAAAAATGTGAAGCAACACAGTATTACATCAGTCATTCTATTGTCATTAATTTGACTACATGAGTCATTAAAATTAATGAACTGCAAAGAGTACAAGTTAAAACTCAACAAATTTATTATTTCTAAAGCTGTAAAGATCTAGAGCAGCGTTCCCCAAATGGTGGTCCACAGAACAGCAAGCCTTACATTAACGGACCACACAACATGAATATTTATTCTCAAACAAAAAGAAAAATTCAATGAATAAATCCAGCACTGGTCCCTGATGCAATTTTAAAACTATTCCACCGGTCCGCCAAACTTAAAAGTTTAGGAAACGCTGAACTACAGATTGCATCTTCAAAGTTCACATTTGCAAGTTTTAATCAATACTCCTTTCTCATATTTCTCTGTTTTACTCAGTTAACATTGTTGATATTTGCAAGTTTGATATGAGAAAAACTCAGTCAAAATTAGACCAAAAGAAGGATTTAAGAATGTAAAAGATGACTTCAAGCAAAAATGAATACAATGTAGCTCAATAGTGTATAAAAGATCTAGGTAACAGTTTATAAGAGTTAAATCACAACATATTTTTTATGTTCAGATTTCATTTTGATGGGATTAAACTTACATAATGTGATGCAAAAAACCACATTGAAATGACAAGAAATTGGATTGATCATTTAGTTTTTTGTAATATTATACGAATCTGTCTGAGCTTATTGAGAGAAACACATAAGGGGCTATTTTAGGAAACCTGACAAATAAAAAATTTGGTGTTTTGCAAAGCAACCATTAAGTAATTCATTCGTTTCTTTTAAAATAAGTATTTGGTGCTTTAAAAAAATACATATTTAGCATTTAATGCTTTATGATAATACCTGAATATGTCGAGATTATATTTTGATAATTGATATTTATGTGTCTCACAATATGGTTATGCATCTCAAACATTATTCTGCTATCTAAATCACAAAACCTTGTTCCACTTTTTAAAAAAAGAGAAAAGAAAATGAGGAGCTTTTTTGACCTCAAAGAAATTTCTGAAGTGGCTGACCCTGGAGTTCTCAGGAAAATAATTATTTTCATCAGGGTTGTTAAACCAGTTTTTGTCACACCAACAGAAATCCCATTCATTGCTGAAATATGTGAACCAGTTATTTAAAGCCTTGTGAGTCAAATTAAACTTCATATCATCTCCATAAGTATTTTACATTTAGTGAGATCACTACAAGGAGAGAGTAAGACATCTTAAAAGATGTTCAAAATTTAGGAAATGTTCTTTGTTTTGAGGAACTAAAATTGAGAATTTAGTATTTGATTTGAAAATTTTCTCTCTACCATACAGGAAATAATTTGTGACTGCAGCTTCTCACATAATACAAATTCTGTCTAAATTTAAAGTAATAGATATACTGAGTAACCATTGACTTTTTTTATATAAACTATATTATTTGTAAACCAAGCCATTGACTTTTTAGTAGATTAGACTTTTTTTTTTTAATTTAGGTAACTTACGTTGTAACCTCCACCCATCCTGGCCTTGCTCTCAATACATCCAAAATTGTATTTTGCAATGAACACCGAAATCTGATACTGAACATAAAAAATACAGAAATTCATTTTGATTTTAAAAATAATTGAGAAACAGCATCTTAAATGATTTCTTGTTTTATCAAAGTTCAATTTTTTTTTAAAAATTAATTGTTAAATATTATAAAATTTGCTTTTTTAAGCTCTTGATCAAAATTTTTCCATGATTAAAACTCATTTGATTTTAAAAAAAGAAATTTAAAAAACTTCTTATTAACATTTCTTTTCTTTTCCTAGTTCTTCTATTTACTATATTACGGAATGAAATTAATAAAAGTGATTACCGTATTTATTGGCGTATAACATGCACTTTTTCTCCCCGAAAATAGGGGGCAAATCATGTGTGCCTGTTATACGCCGATATAATGTTTAAGTTTTTTTTCTGAAATTTCCTTCTTAAATTGATGTGTGTGTTATGCGCGGGGGCATGTTATACGCCAATAAATAAGGTACTTCATATAAAAAAATATTTCCAAACCTGGCAAGTTTTTGCTTAACAGCTGTTGTTCGAGACATTCTTGAAATAGATTTCCCTATTATTAAAAATAAATTAATATTTTAAAAATAGATACAATATGAAATAATATTTAATTATTGATTTTATATAATCTAGTTACAATAAGGGATGTGGTACAAAATAAATTTTCCTTACATTTCGACTTTAATGAATATATTATCTTGAGCACCAATAATGTTACACATATTTGCAATAGAAACAGCTTTCAAAGGGAAAAAATGGTATGAGGTGTAATGCAGGCAATATGTATCATCCCCTTGACATTCAAAAGGGTTCAACAGCTACATGGAAAGAGAAGATCTACTGTTGGGGAATTACATTTTTCTCAAATAAAAAAATCCCAGGCCTTGTGATTTCATTCAGGAAAAACCAAACCATCTTCTCCATGAGACAGGTAATTGTTTAAAAAAGGTAGCTATGAATTTAGTCTAACTTGTATTCATAGCATGTGTATTTGTGAGAGGCCTGCAGAGCCTTTAAGGCTGGCATTGCCTATTTGTAGATGAGATGAGATTAACTCTATAATTCCTTTAATTTTTCATGTTTTCCTTGAGATTTCTAGTGACCTTACAAAAGATTCAATAGCTTTTAGAATCCATGTTTAAAATTCATTATGTAGGATATAAATTTGTAAGGAAATGCATGTGGGTTCTATAAAATGTCTTTCTAAACAATTAAGTTAGGACAAAAATAATTCATACCTGTTTTATAAAAATATGTAATAAATTGTTTTGGTGATCAGATGCAAAGAAAACAAAAATAAACTACCTGGAATTATTTCATAAAATCTGTTTATTCAGTAAAACAATTCATTTTTGTAAATCATATGAAGAATTTAGAACAAATATAAATTAATAGGGCTTAACCGGGTGCAGTTTTTTTACACCATGTCTGGGTATTTCAAAAAAATACCCGGTAGGTCCAAGTGTAAAAAAAAAAAAGAGTCAACTTCTCATTTTCTATAAACAATAGTCCTACAGACAATCCTACAGCCTATAAACAAGTCTTACAGATAGAATCTACACCCTAACTGTTGGCCTTTAAACAATAAGCCTACAGATAGTCCTAAACCATACACCATACCAGTGGCTCTTTATTGATTAATATAATAAAAAGAAATAAATTTAACTTTTTTACCCGAGTTCAACCACCATGCACGACACTCGCTACGTGACAGCTTTTTTTTTCACTCAGAAATATTATTATAAAACATTAAAACGTTAAGTAGGGGAGGGTTGGTTGTAAAAAGGAAGCCGGACACACCAGAAGCAAATTATATATATAAAATATTTTGTCAAATGTGTCAAAAAGAGTAAATAATAAAACATTTCACCACCCCTCCACAAAGTATTTACAAAAATTACAGGTTATTATTATTTTACTTGTTTAAAATTATTTACACAATTTCAAACCATATAAGTTGAAAATTTAAACTTCATTTTACTCAGAAACTTTTGTATTTTTTTCCTAAACAAAGGTATTTGTCACATGTGCTTTTTTTTAATTGTGTTTTTTTTGTTTTGCATTCCTTATTTATAGCACACTGTACAAATTCTTTTTAAATCCATGCATTCAGGAAATATTGGATGTACTCTATTGTATTTTGTTTTATTTACATTTTAGGCGCTTTGATCAGTTTTAGTAATCCACATTCCTCAGTGGAATCAATTGTGTGTTAAATATTAGGAAGCTTTAATTCGTCTATGTCAGAATTTCCCTTTCAACACCCCTGAAGAGATCATAGCTGGCAATATCAACATAATGGAAAAAAGATGTTATCCAGTACTGTTTTGTTTTCTTTAAGGAGATATATCCATTTTTCAACACCACATATGAATTAATTGTATTATTTGACAATATTTGGTTGTATCACCAATAATTGCCTAAATACACAATCAGTTTTGGTTCTGTTCACATAAGAAAATCTATTTTCTGTCATTTAATTTAAAATATGAGAGATTTTTTAATTATCTCTCCAATGAACAGTTATATTTATTTTATCTTATCCACCACATATCACATTGCTTTGGTTTTTTTTTCTTCATTTTCTTCCGATAAAGTCAGACAACAATTTCACTTTGCAAAGTTTGTCCTAATTGCAGAGGCGTAGCGAGGGTGTTTGGCGCCCGGGGACAAGATTCGCGCCCGAGGACAAGATCAATTTTAAAGCGCCCCTTTTCTTGTTTTCAACTCTCAAAACCCATTATTTTTACCAATAATATAATATCAAAGCACATTTTGGCGCCCCTAACTACCTGGCGCCTGGGGACATCTGTCCCCCCCTGCCCACCAGTCGACAAGCCTCTGCCTAATTGTCTATTCAATGTTAGAAACTTTGAAAAATGACATAGTTTGAATCAATCTGTTTTTGGGAATGAGGCATTAGCCCACAATTCATTGTAGATTGTTGAATTTGACCAGCATTTTTGTACACTGGGGACCTTTACAGTTGACATGTACTTTATTGGTCCTAGAAATTTGCAAGGTTCATCTGTTGAAATATCAACCAACCTCTGTTGATGGAAGGTTTAGAAGGTCCCATTGTAGAGGCATAGCTGGTGTATTTCACAAATGTTTCAACCAAATCCAGTGTGAAAAATATCATGAAAATTTTTAAGATGATGAACTGGTTCACTGTATCCATGTTAAAATTTCTTCCCTCAGATATAAGCCTGGCTTTCTGGCTGGGAGAAACTTGGGAATGGGAATTGGCGGGTCATCTTATCATACATCATATGAGTTTAAACTGTGAATTTAAAAGAACAACTAATATTATATATGTAATATTGAGAGATGAAAGGAATAAAAAGTATATAGGCCTATGCCTAATAATACTTCACAGTTTCCATAGCTTCCAATATTGTTTAAATACCATAATGACTTTAAAATGTGCTATCATTGAATATTTATTTACAACACATACAAATGACAAATTTCATTCTTTTAGGATAAAATATATCATCATAGGTAGCTCCCAATGCACTGTTTACATTCCTTAGCAGCAGCCACTAAGAATAGTTTTTCTCTCTTATCTAATAGTAATAAAATTAATTTAATAACACATAAAATGATGCTATTTAAGAAATTATATTTTAAAATAGCTAGTAAATATTTTAATATGCTTGAAAAACAAACAACAACTAAAGTTATAAAATTATAATAAACTCAGAGAAACATAGAATGATGAAACACTTGAAAACTAACCTTCTGGTATTTATTACTTAAATGGGCTGTAATGAACAATTTTCATCAAAGTAGAAATCAGAATCACTTGATTCTGGTTCTAAATTATCTTCTTTAGAAGATTCAGGTAGAAATTGATTGATATTTTCCCCAGTAATATTCATTTTCATAACGATCGCATTGCGACATGTATTAGCATCTAACAAAACTGTGACTAAGATGGCTTCTCTCACTTCGGCATGTCACGTTATTCTCAAACTCGCAAAACATATACTTCTTATTTATTGATTTTATTTTTCTTACAATTCTGCAATAAAATAAATAGAATAATAAAAAAAAAAGAAAAAATTGTATGACCGAAAATAATCTGTATATGTATTTTACGCTCTCTACATGAGTCAATGAAAAGAGTTAATAAATGAAAGAAATAATATTATTAATATTGTCCGGGAATTGAACATACTTGAGTCTCCACAAAATACTCAAAAGTAAAAATATTACAAGAAATTATTACAATATTATATATAAAACTGTAATCAGCCAGTAGCAACATATGCAAATGAAACTTGGACATAGTGTTTTATGAGATTTTTCAGAAAATATTTCTGAAAATGCATTTTGCATTTTTGTAACCCAATAAGCCGATGACTCAGCTGGGAGTCCACGCTTGGTACTTGTTTGAAAGACCACTTTCATGACAAGTGGTTAAGCGATTGGGCCGCAGGAGAAACTGAGCGACAGCTGTACCGGAAAATGCCATGACCGAGCAAGAATGACCTCTCGTGGATGGTAAAGCGAGGCAACCAGAGCTTCATCACCCAGATGAGAGCGGGTCACTGCGCGACATAAATTTGATGACAGGAGGGAACCAAACTGCCGATTCTGCAGCCAGGGGAAGGAGATGGGGGGTCAGGACCTAGAGTGCCAGAGGCCTGCCTTGAAGATATGATTTACGGCGATGCCCACCAGATAAGGCATGCCGTCACAATAATAGCCAGAGCTATAAAATAGAGATTGAATCTCAGCCCATAAGAATATTGAACATTATTAGTACCCTAGCCCTAGTTAATTATAATTTATTACAATTATATTTTATATTAAATAATATAATTTTATACATAACAATATTGTTATAGATAATAGGCCTACCAGCTATTATACCTACTGGATATTGGTAGTCCAGCCAATCTAATCAAACCAAAATCTGAGCTTTAAATACCCTCTTCCAATGAGGCTGGCGAAGTATTGCCCCGTTCATTTATTACTAGTTTGTACTAGTGACAACACCTCGGCACTAATTATAAAATCTACAGTATTGTTTTACAGTTTTAACAATATCTGCTGTAGCCTTCCCCATGCTCAGATTTGGCTATATTGCTATATAATTTACAATATAGACCTAATATAGATCTTAGATAGATGTATAATACTGGTCAAATGGGGATCATAGACCAAAGTTTAAAATTTTTTTACCCAGCTTCTTCTTTGCCAAGGCCAAAGTAAGATGTGCAGTAAAAATAAAATCCAACTGTAAACATTTTGTGTATGCTAATTATTATGATTAAAATTATAAATTAAAATACAGGCCTAAATAATTTTTAAAAGTGTGCATATTAAAACCAAAATCTTCTCACTTTAGTTAAATGAAATTGTATAATAACGTGATTAGGCTTAAGGATGATAAAATAAGCTTAGATCATTTTTTAGGAACATGGTCACTTGAACCAACACACGCCCCCCACCCCCCCCCCTTTTTTTTGGTGTGATTTTCTGTTGTTGGAAGAAATGTCTACTGAGTGTTATTTACATAAATGAGGCCCTGTTAACTTATAAAGTATAAAGGCATCAATCATTTTTTAGGAACATGGTCACTTGAACCAACACCCCCCCCCCCCCCCCCCCCCCTTTTTTTTGGTGTGATTTTCTGTTGTTGGAAGAAATGTCTACTGAGTGTTATTTACATAAATGAGGCCCTGTTAACTTATAAAGTATAAAGGCATCAATTTGTTTATGTACAATTAAACAATTTCATTGGGTATATTGTGCAACTATAACACAAATTAATCAATTTAATTTAATGTCAAGGAATCAATATTTACTATTTATTTTTAATGCTATGCAGAGTTTGCAGAATCAATGTTTTAAATTGCACATAATTTTGATGAAATCATAAACAGTGAAAGTGATATAAATAAAATAAAATATATACAAAGTTATAACAAAGAAAGAAAAACAAGTGTATTATGTCTTGAAAATCCAATTGGAGTGAATTAATAAGGCTAGACCAAAATAATAATTTTTTTTGGAAATGTATTTTGTGTGGAAACTTACACTTACATACTTTAGATTTTCAGTTTTGTAATCAAAAATAAATTGTGACTACCAATAGGCCTAATTATTGCACTACATCAATCTATCACCAATTGGTCTTTTTTTTAATAGTAAACCACCAATAGCCGCTTAGAAGTTACTGGTAGTGGAGTACCAATAGCTCTCTGGAAGCTATTACTTATTGGCTATATTACTATTACTATTGGTGGTTTACTACCAATGCGCCAATACCAATATATATTATATTATATAGTAAATATAGTAATAGTCTCCACAGCCTTATAAATTAATTACAAATTAAGCCAGTAGGCCTAAATATAAATATATAATTAGAAATTCATTCGCACCTAGTCCTGGAATAGTTTGTTGATTCATTGTTCTAATCTAATAAGTTTCAAATAAAGGGTTTTGGAGAAGCATGTAGATAAACATTATAGGATATGTACACTGTTATAATACTGTTACGCGTTGTCAGCTGTAAACAAACGGTGCACCGGAAATTAGGCCAGATTTTTATTATTCTGAATTAGGATTTTTTTAAGATCAACGCAAGTCTTTTAGGTTTTCGCTTTAGTTAAGGAAAACAATACTATAACTATAACCGTACATAAATCCGAAATAAGTAACTTAGTGTAGGGTAAATCTGATAGAAGCAGTGGCGCAGATAGTGGGTGGAGGGGTCGTTCGACCTCAATGGCACCCCCTTCACTTTCTGAAAAAGGGGGGGGGGGTATTTTCTACCAACAGTAGATTTTTTTCGAGGAAGGGGAAAGTGGGGGAAGGGGGGGGGGGAATTTCGAATGGCCCTGGTTGGAACTAACCCTACTTGAAAGAATACTGTATTTTTTAAATTATTTATTCAATCAACACAAGAAAAATGCGAATATCAAAGACTTTTCATTAGATTGGAGGTGAGGGATATTATGCCCCCTTGTGGGAAACAGTTGGGCTTTTTTTCCCAGTTTCTATTATTTAAAGGTAAAACATGTCTTGGAACTCAGACGATTCGGAACTCCAACAGTCAGCGTTCTCGAAAGGATTAAGTTCAGATTCTGAGGCCCCACTACTTGTAGTTTGCTATCTAAGCTAATTCCACATAAATAACCTTTTAATTTAATCATGCAACATTTCGAAAAACTGGTGTCGTTTTTATAGTAGAATGTAGTTATCTTGATTTGCGTGATAATTATAGCCTAAAGATTTGTTACTGTTCTCATAAAAAATTTTGTCCTCGTAATTTACTTTAAAATAGTTTATTGATAATAAAAATAGCGCCCCCGAACCCAATTGCTCGATCTTACATTTTATAAAGGATTTTTACGAAAAGCTTTGTTTTTATGAGTTGTATAATTTTATCTTTGTAAAATCGCTTACCTTGTCACTAGGACGAAGAATAAATAACATAATTTATGAAAATGTGTGTAAATCAGGCATCAGGGGCAGTGGCGACGCTACACCAGGTCCCACCGGGTCCCAGGACCTGGTAAAAAAACGTGGGACCTGGCAAATGACCTGGTAAATTTTTATTGGTTGCTAATATTGTACATATGCTCATTAAGCGTAAACTACATTACATGTAAGAGAACTTCCATTTTAAATGCCTCTTCTTCTTTTATATCTTAAGGGCCCACGATCAATTTATTGATCATTTTGGCGTCTATGCATGTAGATGGGATTTGCAATGTTTCTGTTACTGGTGTTGATGAGGAAATCATGCACTAGGGGTTTGAAGGCTTGACGCAATAGACACAAATGTGTCTAGTGTTGTCGCCTCAACCGTTCCTTTTGAAAGATAGTTCCAGACCCTGATTGTCTTGGGCAGGAATAAGCAGCTCCTATACTGGCTTCTTGCTGGTATGAGTCTGAATTGCCTGTCATGGCCTCGTCGCTGTCTATGGGGGAGAGGGACGAGTTTCTGTTTAATACTGGAACAGTGGACCAGCCCATTATTTATCTTGTACATCATGGAGAGCCTGGATTGTCGTCGTCGTTTCTACAATGGTGACCAGCCTAGTGTTTCTAGCATGCTGCCAACACTAGAGGTACTCCTGTAGCGGTTTAGGACAAAGCCTTTATATGTTTAAATTTTTATCGACAACAAAAGTCAATAAAACGTCATAAAATGTAAAATATATACAATTTAAGTTTTTAACTTGTAAGAGGCCATCCATATATTACGTACGCATAAATAAATGTTATTTTTAATACATTTATTTGGGACCCGCCAAATCTTTTTAAGACCTGCAAGGGACCCGCCATGTTAAATTTGATGGCGTCGCCACTGATCAGGGGGGCCGTAATTTTGGACATTGTCGACATTGACTTGGCCACCTTTTGCTTTAAGCGATTGATCATAATCTGGTTAGCAATTAGGCGGTGCAGGTCTCTAGGGTAGGTGGCGGGAGGTTCTGAAAAAAAGGGAGGACGACACCATAGGTTTACTGCACCAGGTCTAGTGTTTATGTCAGACGTTTCAGCGGGTAAGGGTGGAACTGCTCCTACCACCACCCCCCAACCCCCCCCCCCCCCAGAAAGTCCAGTTTTTACCAGGAGAAAAACGAAAATATATTTAATTAAAAAAAGCGACCATATTGTCATTTTTGTAACACTTGTAAAAAAGAAAAGTAACTGGTGACTTTTAAAGATTACAATTAGTCATCCGTATATTTAAAGCTAATCTTGTTAGAAACTTGTAATATTATTCGAATATAAATATCGTATTTATCCGAAAGTTGTCCGCTTCTGATTATAAGTCGAAGGCTTAGTTCTTGTATTTCGCTTATTTGTTTTTTTTTTTGTTTGTTTTTTTATTTTTTTTGCGACTTCACAAGTTTAAAGATTTTAATAACATGTTATTATATTAACTTTACATCAATATAAAGGTATATAATTTTAGTATAGTCTAGAACTTTCGACAAAACAGCATTTTTTTTTTCTTTTTGACTCTGGTAAAACTTTGAAATATTTAGAAATGATAATTGTAATACGTGAGATGTTGACATCATGTTTTTCTAATACCTTGAAGATGTCAAATGATGTTAGCGAAGTGAAATCTGCGCCGGCAGCGAAACGTGAACATCGCGCACCCCTGCTCTGTTTCATAAATAATTATTTATAAGGCCAATGTGGGCCCTTGGATAACGAACTTAACCGAAACGTTTGCGAACCGAAATAATGTTTGCCAATAAAATCAATTCATATGTTCGAGCTTAAGAAAATAGGATATTTTTGCATATTTTTTACTGTTGTTTTATGATGGAAAAATACATAATTTTTATATGAACTGGCAACCTCTCTGTGTTTATACAAAACTATGAATGACGCTCCCTCGGCGAGATTCATCAAACCCCACTATTTCACTCTTCAGCTTTGGCACTTGTTCTCTGTGTTTTGGTCAACGAATCGCTGTGCCACTGCCTGGCACTTTGACTTCTGTGTTTTGGTCAGCAAATCACAGGGACACTGTCTGGCACTTGTACTCTGTGTTTTTGGACAATAAATCAAATGTGCAACACTTTTCGTCTTTTCACGAACTATCGTCTCGCTAACGCTGTTTCTAACCAGCTGCTTTTCATTTATCTAAGCTAACAACATTTTTAAAAATTTTCTCTAGCACTGTAGACCATTGATTTACAATCCGTGGCCCGAAACTTCAATTATTGCGGCCCTCCTATGGCTAATTTATCACAAATATTTGTACTCCTAATCAGTTTTTAAAAAAAAGATCAATGAGAGGGAAAAAACAGCAAAAGAAACCACATTTGAGAAACACAAGTGTAAAACATGTTTTTTAACCCAGTAGTAGCCCCCCCCCCCCTCCCTGATAGTCTTGTTCCCCTTCTTTCAATGTTCCAAACTGGTAGACCCAGAATCTCCTTTACCCTATGGATGTATGCGACTAACTAATTGTCATGTGGAACTTACCACAATGTTTTGGCAACAAGGTCCGGTGAGTCTACCTGTCTCCGAGATCATGAAAGTCCGAGCGCAGACACGGCTGACCCAGGACACGACAATCATCAGTCTAGTACAGTGGTCAGAAAATCGTGGCTCGCGAGCAGCACGCGGCTCTTTAGCAACCTGAGTGCGGCTCAGCCAGACGGCCCCAAATCGGTTTTTACTCCGAAAAACATGGTTTTTGACAAGGTCTTGAAAAGAAAATTGGCTCTCAATCTTTTTAAAATCGTCCTGCTGGTGATTTTTGGCTCTTTTGACTAATGAGTTTTCCGACCAATGGTCTAGTACGAAAATGGCCTAAGCCCTAAACAAGAATGAAATATTAGTGCCAAATGGTGGCGGGGAATGGACTATTGTAAATCCTGCCTGAGTGACATATTATTAAGGGACGACTCATCACTGTAGATTTCTGCCTGAAAAATGCGGACTCATAGGGCCTGATGTACGTGCATCTTCTGGACATGGATGAGAAGGAAAGCCACAAACAAAACCAGAAAAACCATTTGGCACATCGCTCAATTTAGGCCCCACCCCCTTTTCAACATTTTTTCGGAGAGCAACAATAGAGATGCTAGTGCAGATTCAGTTGTCACTTGACAAGCTTGTGTTTTTACTGAACATTTATTGTGTGTTGTTATTCAGTTTTAGTGTTGTTGTTTTTAATTTATTGCAACTATTTATTTGTTCCAACTAATTAATCAATATTTTTTTTTAAAGTAGACCTGTCGTCTTCGTGGCGTCACCGAGACCACAATTTCACTCAATTTCACACTTATGATAAGTTCTGACATACAAATTGAAATAAAAAATTTATTTTTATCAATTTTTACAAATGTATTTATATATTATCAAACTCTTAAACTTAAATATTTTACATCAATATACTGCAAAATAGAAAAAAATAAAATATCAGAGCAAACAAAATCAATTTTTAAAAAATAATTTAAAAAATATGGCTAATAGCTGTATACATTTTTTTTTAAATGTTAGACAAGAATTCTATCCATGAGGATTCATTTCTTCCTTAAATGATGCGCTTAGGATATCAGTCGGAACATAAACGCTTGACTAAAGAATTTCGGAGCGTCCCTTCTTCCGGAAATTGAGACTCACTTCAACGTCCTCGTATGCCTCCGGACAGCAAGAGTAGATAACCGAGTTCTTCTTCTGTGTGACGTCCAAGATTTCAAAGCGAGAGTATTGGGAGAAGTATTCAGAATCATCACTATTTTCTGTCGTGGGATCTACAGAAATCTCTCCACTGTGGTGGGTCCAGGAACCAATTTTGATCCGACACGTAGCACCGGACTCCGTATCGACACCCGATACATCGCAGGAGAACCGCTGGCGGATACTCGGCATGTACAGCACTTCACCATCGGATACGACCCTGGCCAGTTGCGGTGTAAGGACTTCAGGTTTCGAGATGGCGTTGTATGCAGCGAGGTCAGGCACCCACAAAGAGCTTATTGGCACGGAAACCTGCGACATGGAACGATAAGGAGTGTTGCGTTAAAACTATATTTCATACCAAATGAGGAAGATGTAAAAAAAAAAAAAAAATACACATAGTCCCTCAATTGCTTAAAAGCTGTTTGATCATTAATGTTAATATTTAACCATATTATTATTTTATATGCAATTATATGAAACAAAATTATCGATCAACTTGCATCAATCCTTAAAAAAGAAGTATGCAATTCACTTGTATATATTTTGCACTGTTAAAAAGTCCCATTTGACTAAAATTTAAGTTTCTTTTTAGAGTTAAACCAAAACGGTATCAATATCAAACGCAATTTTTTTAAATTGTTCTTTTTTAATTACAAAATTCTGAGATTGGATTTTTTACAGCGAAATATTGAAACATTTTAAGGAAATCTTTATAAATCCATAACAGAAAATAATCTTTGGAGCTAAAAAGGATATGTTCAATTCTAAGTCTGGGAAAACTCATTGACAACGACATTCCTGGATTATTCATAGGGCAAGATTGGAATCGTTTCTATGACACACTGAGTTCTAAGCTATATATTTAAAAGGGCCCCCATTTTTGCTGTATCCAGGCACACCCCTGTCCCCCAAAACACCAAAACCTTTCTCTGGACAACACCGGCCATTTCTCAGGCTGTCGAACTTTTTATTAGGATTCCGGAAAAGAGTTAACTCGCATCAAATTCGACTTCGGATTTAAGTAAAAGTCTTAACCGCATATAACCCAGAGGCAGAAGAACAGAGTGTCGCCCTTCAATATTTGGTAGCTAAGTCGTAACAGCATATAACCCAGGGGTAGTTGAACTTTGTATGGTCCTTTAATATTTGGTAGCTAAGTCTTAACAAGGGTAGTTGAACAGAGAATGCCCCTTTACTATTTTGTAGCTAAGTCTTAACAGCATATAACCCAGGGGTAGTTGAACATATTATGGTCCTTTAATATTTGGTAGCTAAGTCTTAACAAGGGTAGTTGAACAGAGAATGGCCTTTTACTATTGTGTAGCTAAGTCTTAACAGCATAAAACCCAGGGGTAGTTGAACATTGTATGGTCCTTTAATATTTGGTAGCTAAGTCTTAACAAGTGTAGTTGAACAGAGTACGGCACTTTAATATGTGGTAGCCAATAACTCAGATCCTTGTACACAGTACAACCTGATCTGGTGAGTGAGAACTGTTCCAGGCGAGGGTCCTGTCCGACCATGTCGTCTGCTGCCAAAAGACCACGTCCACTTCATTGGTTATTTCATTCACTTCCAAGATGTTGATGAACTTCAAAGAGACGGACACAGCCACTGGGCGATCTCGCTGTGTGGGAATCACATCCGGTCTCGATGTCTGACGTATGTTGTACAAGATGTCTGCCCGGTCCAAGCTTAGACACCCTGTAGGTAGAGAAAATTGAAAGAAAAATACTAATAATGTCACTTGTCGTGTCTTATAATTTTCTAAAATTAAAATAATAACTTACTTAACAGAATTGCAAGAACCGAGAGCAAAATAGTAAAATAATAATATTTTTAAAAAAATATTATTATTTATTTATATTAAAATTTTCTTAAGGTTTATTTTTAAAATTATCGTATTTTTAAAATATATTTATATATTTTGTATATTTTCAGGTTATTATTGAGCTCTGCAAATATATATATATATATATATATATATATATATATATATATATATATATATATATATATATTATATAGGCCTATATAGGGTGGGCCAATAAAAGTGAGAACATTTCGTAGCGTAATATTTCATATTTTATGTTTATTGTTTATGTTTATGTTAATTTATATATATAAATTTAAATCTCGATTTTATCATCCTCTCTGTCTTCGTATTTAAAAACCTCACGTTTCTTAACCAACTTTCTATCAACTTCAGATGATACAAATGAATGTGATTCCATTAGTCACTCTTGATACCATTAGTTTTTGACACCGTAATCGCCAACCTAACGTAACTCTAAGACGACTCGCTACCAAGAACACTGGATGATTCTGTCTTTACCTTGCACGATCCAGAGACAAGCAAGGCAGAAAATGTTTCGACGCATTTTGATATTTTTATCAGCACCCCCGAAATACAGTTAGATGAGCAGCAGCCCAGTAGTGCAGCTAGAACAGCCTGTCGTCCTGCTTTTAAGTACATTGTCCCATAAATGTAAAACGTGCACAATAAAAAAAAATATTCACATTCAAATCGGTGTCATTATTTCGGAGTCAGAAAATTGCCACATTGATAAAATGGTTCTAAAATGGGTCACTTGCCCAGGGTCACGCAGAGGCCGAGGCAACCGAGCAAATTGAGTGCGTCCGTGTCCGAAAAGGGACACCCCAAGTTCTGAATTAAAGCGTTAGATTCAATTATTTTGAATTTTTTGGAAAACCCAAAATTTGGATTTGCTCGGGGCCCAAAAATCCTCTGCATGGCCGCCATATTTGCCCATGGGGCGCTAGCAATGACAGCAAAGAAAATATGGACATGGATTGGGAAAAAAAATGAATTGGACAATGAAGTATGAACCAGAGTTGTTAATCGTCATTATAATATTTTCAACTTTAACCTAGATTCTATAAACCCTAATAATGTAACAATAATTTTCTATAATTATTTTAGTATAGTATCAACACTATGTGAACCTCATTTGACCAATTTTTTTTAAAAGACCATTTTAAAAATATTGCATTTACCATATAATAAATAAATCCAACGTAAGTATTTTTCATGACTAATATATTATTACAAAAGGTGAAGTCAATAGAGGCTCATACCAGCAATTCGAGAAACCCTTTAGTTGAACTTCTAACCAAAAACAACAACACCCCTACCCCCAAACTAAAATTGTGAGTGGCTCGATTTGTCGTCACAAACCGTTTAGATGGTGCACTATTGTGAATGTGACGTTTGCATTTTTGTAAAAGTCAACGTTCCATCGTTCGTTCCAGCAATGAGGTCATTTAACTCATGCGGTTAGAGTGTTTGTTTTTGAAAGATAAACAGCACTTATGACGTCATACAGCTTGCAGCAAATGGCGTAGTTACACGGGAAAAACGTAAAGCAACACCCAGAACCTCAATTATGGCTGGCAGGTTGAGTTCTCCGCCGATAGTATATGGACGTTTCCAAATTTAGCCCTGAACACCAAAATTTTCTAAGATCGACTCACTGACACCAGCAGGAAGAGCGGAAACTTGGGAGCGTCGTAAGCACGATGGGCTTCACTGATGCGCATCAACTTGGTGGTTCTCTTGAGTAGGATCACGACTCGCTTTTCAAACTCCCGCCCCGCAATAACCAAAGCCACCTTCTTTTTTTGTTGGCCCTTACATCGACTCCTATGTCCAACTGCAGGTTTTAGATCAAAATCCCGCCTTTTTCACCGCTGTCAACAAAATATATTTGTAAAAATTAGGGATTTTGTTAAGGTGAAAGTAACAAACATCCCGGATTATGATAAACTTGACCTTTAACCTTAAAGGGAATAAAGTTTCCTTCGTTCATCTCTAGAGCTCCGTAGGACGTCAGCTGAAAAGATCACTTATTTTCTGGTGCTTGTCAAAACAGGCCCAGTCATTCATTAATTCAACTCCAGCCACTTAAAAGTCTATCCTTGAGGTTTGTGTATTGTCATGGGAAAGCAGACTTTGATAGGAAACTTCAATCGCTTAAAGTCCCAGTCCTAGAGAGTCATAGAAGTTCGGGGTATTACAAACGTTTAACAACACAGCCTGTGAAGAGAGCTACTTCAAAGAAATTTCTATGTAAAGCTTTAACCTGCAGCCTGGTGCCGTAAAAAATTTAGGGTGGGGGCCTACCAGATTGGGCAACAGCAAGCTTGGAGTATGAACTTTCATACAGTCATTATATGGTGGAATCCATAAATTCTGAAGAAAATCTACCGGTTAGTGAAGCACTTTCTCTAACTCAACCACAGACTAATAACCAATCACAGAATAATTGATACTGGATGTCGTGTTCTTTTGGGGGTTGTAAGAATGGATCTTTTCTCTTCAGACACATATCAAATTATCCATATGTACATTTCTCAAATCAGATTAGATTCTCTTTTCACCTATTGTCTAGACAACTTCATAGATATGACAAGGCCTGTACACCTTGCCATTGTCTTCGTTTAGTTCGCCAATCCTATTTGGACAATGAAGCTTGAGAACTTTTATGCCTTTAGATCGCTTTAATGTTCTTTTAAAAAAAATCACTAAATAGAAACACTCAAGCAAGTTCCTGTGTTCTTTTATTATATGTGGCAGTGTATGCCACGATATTTTTAAACAACGGCTATTAGTACGAAAACCATGTTGGGCGCCCAACCCGCGGTGTGACCTCGCCTAACACTAGATCGGAATGTTGAACTCAGGTATCTCTTTCACCCCAGTCCACACGTCCTCTGTACGGCCAGCTTCTCTCTCCCATAGGGGGAATACTTAAACACCACTATGTGTGCTTTAGTTAGGAATTTAATAATGTATTCCTGGGGAACCCTAACGTATTAAGTTATAAATTATATCTAGCTGGAAAGCGGATTTTATTTACTATTTCGTAGAATATTTACAAGTCTCTATCGTTAGAGGATATTTTAACATTTAGTCATTAAAAGGATTTTCAACTTCATCTTTAGTGGTCCCCACCCCTTCTATTTAAAAAAAATATCTCAAAAACTATTATTTAAACCACAGATACATAACATAGTGTCTTAGATAGCCGGGACTAAGCTGAAAATAGCACGATTAACTCTTTAGGGGGTTTGTTCCGGAATTTCACTTTTATTTTGGGTTGGAGTCGCTAAGGCATTGTTAATTTACCACAAGCTATGTGCCAGGCTATGTGCCAGGCTATGTGCCAGACCGCCAGTAAGAAATTGTCTCGGTTGTCGCGTGACGTAGGTCTCTTTCATATGTCCGCGCACGGCTTTATAAAGGGGTGCACACTTAGTAGGGGGTCTTTCGAGGCTGGACAGCATCCCTGAAGTGTGCCATTGTTCAGTGCGGCCCATTGGAACGCTCTATATTGTCCTTTTCCTTAGGACCTTTATCGTCATAGTGAGCTTTTCCTGTAGAGTTAATAAATCTATAGTCATCGAGACCTTAATTCCTTCATTTTTTATTAGTAACTGTCAGTGTCAGTCTTGGTACAACCAATCACCATCACCAACCATTACCCAAGAACCTCACACAACTACATTTTTGGCGCTGCGAGTCAGCTGTGACCGTCTAAAACAGGGATCTCAAACTCGCGGCCCGCGGGCTTTTTGCGGCCCGCAAGACGATATTTTGCAGCCCGCGACATGACAGCCAATTTAGTGTTAATGCCGCACGCACGTTTTCCCCATTCTCATATCTATAATGTGACCCTCCGCGACGATTTCAGTCGAATCTCATCGACTAGTCTAATTCTAATTTATTATGTTTGTATAGAATTGGACGTTGATTCTAATGGTGAAAACCGTTTTAAAATCGGACTTAATTTTTTTAATTTGTAACATTTTATTCGACAAACATGGACAAAGTGCGGTTTCGAGAAAACACGCTTCAAATATTACATATTCATATTTCAACATTTTAAAAATTCAGTTAGTGGGTAATGACAACCATAATTGTGTAAATTGTAGCAACCTGACACAATATCTAAGAATGACTATTAAAATTGCCGCTAATGTTTACGAGTGAGGGAAATTTCGAACCTGCCACCTTGGTCACGTGCGCTGTCAGGTCACAGGCAACAAGAAGTAGGACGAAAAAAGTGCAGCCTATTTTTTGAGAACCCTTGATGTTTTTATTTGTTATTACTAAATGTTTGGCAGATTGTAACAGTTGCACTTTGTTGAATTTGTAATGCTTTTTTGTGGAATACTTCATGCGGTGCAGTCTCACTAAGACTCTGCCTCCTACGGCCCAGACTCACTCAGACTCTGCCTCCTGCGTGCCAGTCTCACTCAGACTCTGCCTCCTGCGGCCCAGACTCACTCAGACTCTGCCTCCTACGGCCCAGACTCACTCAGACTCTGCCTCCTGCGGGCCAGTCTCACTCAGACTCTGCCTCCTGCGGGCCAGTCTCAGACTCTGCCTCCTACGGCCCATACTCACTCAGACTCTGCCTCCTGCGTGCCATCCTCACTCAGACTCTGCATCCTGACTCTGCCTCCTGCGGGCCAGTCTCACTCAGACTCTGCCTCCTGCGGGCCAGTCTCAGACTCTGCCTCCTACGGCCCAGACTCACTCAGACTCTGCCTCCTGCGGGCCAGTCTCACTCAGACTCTGCCTCCTGCGGCCCCCGAATGATTTGAGTTTGAGACCCCTGAGCTAAAAGGTGATCTTACATAAAAACTGTATTGTGAAAGTGAAGAGTTCTCCGAGATATAAAGTATAAATCATTAAAACATAAAAAGGGAATCTCTCCAACAAATTAAAAATTGGGTTGGCAGTACTAGTAATAGTGTTATTTCGCTTTGATGCCAAATGTCAACATTGTGTAATAGAGGGTTATTATAAGAGTGCGTCTCCTAGAAGCGCGGGGCCCTGGGAAAGTGCCCATGCCTTAAGACGGCACTAGACTACACGTGTAAGACAAATAAATCATGATTGGGAGGTTAACGCGAACTTTGTATACGGTAATCTAAACAATCATCATATAGTGATAAGGGCCCAAATGCAGAAGACCTACAACCACACGGCTTGTCTTTATTACCGTTTAGAAATGTGCCCTCTCCTTCCCAGCAGCTTTGCTTCAGGCTAGCTGTCCTACCCTCACTCAGACTCTGCCTCCTGCGGCCCAGACTCACTCAGACTCTGCCTCCTGCGGCCCAGACTCACTCAGACTCTGCCTCCTGCGGCCCAGACTCACTCAGACTCTGCCTCCTGCGGCCCAGACTCACTCAGACGGGGCAGATTGAAAACATTGGTAGAGTACCGTGAGAAATGTCAACCGCAGGAATTATGTGGCGCCATTTTATTCCAGATGTCTGTTGCTAAAGGTCACAGACGTCATACGTGGCATATGGGGAGATAAAACAAATTGTAATTTGAAACTTTAAACCGTTACACTGTCCATATTCGCCCCCTCCCCTTTTCACCCCCCCTTCCCCCCTCCATTTTTTCACCCGCCCT